GAGTGGACTACATTTCCATTTAAACTCACATTTTACAGGACAGTCGCCTAACAGATGCAAAAGCTATTGGGGGATGGGTGGGGGTGTACCTTAATCAAGCTATGGATTGGTTCCATGATTGTGAGTGATGACTGCACCATGACCAGTTGTTCATGTTGGTCTGAGAATGTTGCTGCTCATTTTCCACATGTTTTAGGTGCATATTCACAAGGCTGGAGCAGCTACTTCTGTTAAAGGAAATAGTCATTGCTCCCACTGCTCAACCTGCCAGATGCATTAACTACTTGCCATCCTGAGGATTTACCCCCCTTAATGACCAGGTCTCGTTTTGCTATTTGTCGCTGCACTATTTCAACTGTTAATTGCGCGGTCATGCAATGCTGTACCCAAACATCCTTTTTTTGCACACAAATAGAGCTTTCTTTCGGTGGTATTTGATCACCTGTGTGCTTTTTATTTTTCGCGCTATAAACAAGAAAAGACAGAAAATTTTGAAAAAAAACAAACTATATTTTTTACTTTCGGCTATAAAAAATATATAGTAAACTCAAAGTTAGTTATAAATTTAGGCGAAAATGCATTCTGCTACATGTTTTTGGTAAAAAAAAAATCCCAATAAGTGTATATTGATTGCTTTGTGTGAAAGTTATAGCGTCTACAAACTATGGTATAGATATAGCAATTTACGCCATTATTTTGCTATACATGCTGCACTAGGTTAACTGACAATTGCGCGGTCATGCAATACGGTACATAAATGACATTTATGTCCTTTTTTTCACACAAATAGAGCTTTCTTTTGGTGGTATTTGTTCACCTGTGCGCTTTTTTATTTTTGGCACTATAAACAAAAAATTTAAAAAAAAAAAACTATATTTTCACATTTCTGTCATAAAAAATATTAAAAAAAACTCACATTTCATCATAAATTTAGGCCAAAATGTATTCTGCATGTTTTTGGTTAAAAAAATCCCAATAAGTATATATTCATTGGTTTGTGTTAAAGTTATAGCATCTACAAACTGGTATAGATAATGGAATTTACACAGCTTTTCCTTTCTGACTGCCCATCACATTTCTTGAGGTGCTAAAATACCAGGACAGTACAAACACCCCCATATGACCCCTTTTCGGAAAGTAGACACCCTAAGCTATCTGCTGAAAGGCATATTGAGTCCATGGAAGATTTATTTTTTTGGAAAATGACAAAACATTTTTTTTTTACACAAAGTTGTAATTTAAATGATATATTTCTCACACAAGCCATGGGTATATGTGGAATTACACCCCAAAAATATATTTTGCCATTTCTACCGAGTATAGGGATGCCACATGTGTGAGACTTTTCGGGCGCCTAGCCACATACAGGAGCCTTCATTTTCCAAAAACATGTGGCAACAAACGAGATCTGCAAAATACTCACCATGTCTCTTATGAAATTCCTTGGTGTGTCTACTTTGCAAAAAGTGGTCATTTGGGGGGGGGGGGGGGGGGGGGTTGGTGCTATCCTGGCATTTCAGGGCCTCCAAAACTGTGATAGGTAGTCAGGAAGTGTAATGAGGAAATAAAGCCCTTTAAAAGCCTGAAGGTGCTTATTGGATTTTGGGGTTTTGTACTTGGCTAGACTGCCAAAATGTTACTCTTTAACATTGCCGATTTGCATAGCATATACTGTATGCGATCATTAATCCCACATTTTGTAACCAGTGTATTCAATGCATTTGTGATGTTATACTTACATTGCTTTATGTTGGAAAATTAAGGGATTGTTTGTAAAAAGTGATATGCTGTTCCCAGAGCCGCTGTTAGAAATCATGGGGCCCCGTACAACCTACCTAATGGGGCCCCTTTTGACTCCACCCTTGACCACACCCCTGGCCCTGTGCCCTCCCATGACTCCGCCTCAACACAAACTACAGCTTTGTCTTCTAGTGCATACAGTAGAAGGGGGAGCAGTTGAGGGTGGTTAAAATGCACAGCTGAGCTTCACATTTTTACCACCCCCAAATTACAAGTGTAAACGAAGCCTAAGGCTACAATTACATTGCAGATTAGGGCTGGGTGAGAATTATGGTGACAGTTCCTCCTGTGGCTTTCAGCGTGTAGGTGCGGCCACCGGACCCTTCACTATAATGACAGGTCACCGGCAGCTGCACCTATTCATGGCTCTCTGCATAGCCAGCGATTACCTGTGGTGATTGCTGCTGGATGCACTTTGTCTGCATCCAGCAGTGATCACTGCAGGTAATCACTGGCTGTGCAGTGAGGCACATAGAGGTGTGGCTGCCAGTGACCTGTCATTATAGTGAAGGGTCACACTTACCCATTGAGAGCCACAGGAGGAACTGCAGCTACAATTTGCATCAGCCCTAATTTCGGGTGTGAATGTAGCCTTAGGATGCTTTTCACTGTCCTTCTATGATCATCAATATTATCATGATAATCACATAGCACAGGTGCTATGACTCACAGCACCTATACTGTGTGACTATAATAATGATGATGATGATCACATTTGGCTGCTGACTGTATAATTCATCATGGACAACAGAAGGGCACAACATGGGGGGGAAAAGGTGTGTGTGCGCACCTTGATCTCCCTGTATCTTTTGCATACCTCCCAACTTTAGAAGTTGAGAACGAGAGACACTTCAGGGGGACAATGAGATAACTTGGCACAAAGCATGCTGCAACAAAATGGGTGTGGCCAAACTGTTAACAGTAGGAGGGGCTTAAAAGGCATGGTTAAACAATACCTTGGCTTTCTTGTACCTATAAAATATGCATTAGTTGCTGTAAGCAAGAGTCTCACTAACACTTTGTCTAAGCCTACCGTAAAGAAGAACTTCATTAAAGTGGAAGTTTAGTTAAAAACTAACAAACACCAAACCTATTCTATGCCACATTCTAAGCCTATTCTATCTAGCCCTGTAAAGAAGAAATCTCTGTACTTACCTGTTCTGCAGCCACTCTGGTCCGGTCCCAGGCTGAACTTTCAGCGGCAGCTTCAGTGTGTGGGAGTGTGCAGGAGAGGAAGCCCCATAGCAACTCTATGGGTGATGTCACTTCCCAGTTGACTGTTCTCTCCTGCACACAGCATCTGCCACTGGGGATTGGACTAGAGTAGGTGCGGATTAGGCTTAGAATGGGGCATGGAGTATTATTAGTTAGGTTTTGACTAAACTTCCACTTTAAAATCGTCAAGGTGGGTCAGGTGTCCTGGGTGCCTGTGCTAGTGTACCCCAGTTCTGGCACTGGGATATGGGGGAGGATGAGATTTAGTAAAAATAGTGGGACAGTCTAGCCAAATCCTGGTCAGTTGGGAGGTATACCCCTCCTTCTACACACTGGAGTATAGGATGTGTATAGGGTGCATTAATGGAGGAGGCTGTGGACAGAGAGATGTCAGCCAAAGATGGAAGAGGAACTGGAACACAGGCACTGGGCAACACTTCTGGGAGTTGAAGCAGACTCTGTATGTGGAGGATGTGGCGGAAGGTGCGTCTAAGTGCAATATATCCACATGAACTGTAAGGACAACAGTTAGAAACACTTATAAACAGGCTCTGTATAATCTGTCAGGATGCGGGTGCTCTATCCACCGTGCAAGAACCCACTGTGCCGAACCAGCAGCTGGAGGGGGAGCTGAAGATGGGATGTTCAAAATGGCTGCCGCAAGTTCCAGGATCACTGGTACGCACGCAGTTTGGGAGACTGCAACTGGAAGTGATGTGCGCGTGGACGCGTTTTGGAGCATGTGCAGAGCTCCTTCTTCAAGATCGATGCCAAGGACTAGGTGGAGCCGAATAAATAGGAAGAAGGGGTAGGAAACGGGGGGCCTGAGAGGAACATTCCTCCTCCTCAGCACAGTTCTGTGCCGGTTTTTAACTTTTTATTTTTGTGTTTTACTCCATTTTTTTTTTTTTTTTAATTGTCTTACCCCTTTCCTTATTCCACATCGTACTGACTCCGTCTGCAGTCATTTTTGGTCTTCAGGGGGGCATTCACATCCATCCCCTCACTTTCCGTTGTGGTCTCCCGGACAGCATGTGCTCCAGCATGCATTCCAGTGACCCCGGAACTTGCGGTGGCCATCTTGGACATCCCATCTTCAGCTCCCCCTGCAGCTGCTGGTTCAGCACAGCGGGTTCTCACACGGTGGATAGAGCCCCCGCATCCTGATGGATTATACAGAGCCTGTTTAACTGCCACTTTGTAAGTGTTTCTAACTGTTGTCATTAAAGTTCATCTAGATATACTGCAGTTAGAAGTGCCTTCCTGTTTCAACCTTTCCTTCTACACAGTGCTCCCTCTTGCACACATCATCCCATTCCCTGCACACACTGCCTCCCTCCTGCACATATTAGATCCCCTCTACACAGTGCCTTTCGTTCTTCTGCACACTGTCCCTGGAAATCTGAGACATCTAATTACTGAGACACTTCATTATTAATTTCTAAAGAAAGCAGTAAATCAGCCACTGTCTGCTTGAATACCTGACATCTAGGACCAATTTGCTGACCTGTCCAGTTGCAGTTTCCTGGAGTACACACCATGGACGCCAAGTCCAGCAAGAAGAGCTGATTGGCTGCAGCACGCTATCTCTGATTGAAGGCTTCATGGACATTACCTGGGGTAGTTCACAGTCACAAAGGGAGCGATCCGGGCTTTTAGAGTCACTGTACTGGACTTTCAGCCGCCTCCCATGTGACATGCAGGATGCCGGAATTAAGTTGTAATCTCGGGAATGAGTATAGAACTACAATATCAACTTGAAGCTGCCAGCTGGCCGCTCCCCCTGTCAAAGTGACGGGCCCAGGCCCCCTACAGGAGACCTGGAGGTACCCCCCTATCAGCGGCCCTGGCTGTAGCATGGTGCCTTTATTTTTATGTTAAAGAGACTAAGTGTTTCTGAAATAAACTCTTTAAATATTGGCTTTGGATTTAAAATTTAAATAGAAAAATTTAATTTAAAGTCTAAATACTTGTGCTCACATTACCTTGTCATGCTGCGGTTTATCTGATGGCTGTTGGTTTGGAGGTTCCTTGGGATAAGGTGACTGTGTGTCAGAAGAAATTGGTGACACAAAACCTGGCCTGTAGTTCTCTTCATTACCTTGGAATTCCTTTCCTGACCATACAGCAAAACCATGACTTGAAGAACTAGAAATACAAAAAAAATACATCCAAAATACTCCCAATTGATAAGATATTTACACACGTTTTATATAGACCTAAATTGGACAGCTAACCTGCTCTTCTTGGGCTGTTTGTTCTGGTGCCAAAATGACCAGCGGGCCTTCTCTCTCTGTTCATACTTCTCATGTCGACGAGAATATACATCATCTGATAAATCTTCCAGCTGAAATGAAAATACAAAAAAAACACCATAAGTATAGCAGGTGTCTGCCAATAATGATGAACCATAACCGCACAGCAAATATTCGTTTGTTATGAAGTAAAACAATGCTATAACCAGCTAAACCAGTTTTGTTGTACCCATAGTAAACAAAGTTTATAAACTGGCAAAGTAAAACATACTGGGCAATTAAAACTGGGCATATGATGAACTATTGTATTTGTAAAAGTAAAAAACTGCATGTCAAAAAATCAGTAGATCCAAAAGATATAGACAGCTGAAGTTATATGCAAATTTTGATTATTTTGGTAAAAAGTGCAATTTGGTAATTTCCCTTCCAGAGCCTTCCTTTTGGTTCTTTACTATGGTAACAAGCTTCACTGAAAAGACAAGTGCCATGTTGAGGTTTTACAGGAAAATTTGAGAATTGCTGCTGGTAATTGTGGATCTACTGCTTTCGGTTTGATCAGATACCTTCACAGGCCAGTAATGGCCTGTTTACATTAGGCTGGAAGTGAGAAAATACTTGTCGCTTCTAGTTTCTTAGAACATAGAGATGATCAGGGGCGTTCCGGCCCTTGGTCAACTCTATTGTGAGCCAGCAGAAATGGTGGCTTCAATTCTGGGCTCCCGGTGGGATTGGAAAACCTGGGAAGGCAGCTGAAGAGGTGACCCACTTCCACCGCATGCAAAAGCGATGCAGTGGCTAAAAAAACAAAAACAAAACAGGGTCATGACTGCACTGCAGCCATGATCCTGGTATAACCACTTCAACCACAAGATGTATGGGTATGTCCTTTTGGAGGAAGTGTTTAACATCATGTTTTACTGAACGTACCCCTGGACTTTGGTAAACCGGAGCTTATTGCCATTAGGCAGTAATTCTAAATTTCTATGAGTGATTAAGATTGTCTGAGAAAAGCAAATATGTGCTTTAAATCTCACCGATTCTGCATTTCTGTTCTATTAGTGCTGGTAAATACAAAAAGTTGAGCACCTGTCTTACATAACATGAGACTGAGAAGATAAAATTTCTAGTAACATGGTTCATATTGTAAAACTGAAGAATAAACACTTACCTCTATATCAGGAGGAGCTTCCAGAGGTTCATAGACCATCTCCTTAAAACTACAAGTAAAAAAAAAAAAAAAACAGCAAAAAACAGGCTACTTTTACTGTTGATTGCATTTGATTTCTAAAGGCAAAAACAATACTTTGGTATATGTGTAGTCAGAATGGATTTGATACAGAAACTGGTGTAGCTAAGGAAGCTATGAATAAATGAGCCCAATACTTAAAGTGTATCTAAACCTCAGAACAAAAATGTAATATATCAGCTTACTAGGCCTAAAGATGTGGTGTGGCGGCTGCAAGATTGTTTTTCCTTTTGCACCTGCTAATTCTCCCAGTAACACACTTCCAGTCCTAGGGTAACAATGGTCACTTTGTGTACTGTATCTGTGGAGGAAAGACATTGTCACCCTAGGCTGTTTTTCTGATTTGGACTACAAACTCCTCCTCCTTTCCTCATTTCTATTAGATATGGTGGGTGTTTTTTGTTGTTCACAGGTATTTTTCTGTACTTGCAAAAAATGTACTCTATACAGGTCCAACCTCTCCTGAAGCACAGTCCTAAGTCTTTGGTCTGCCATCTGCGATGGTGCCTACAAGGATAGGATCCTCTATCTGTAAATCTTTTTGGGCAGCAAGTTTGGTATTAGCAAAACTTCTGTTGTATATCTTCTCAGTACTCCTCCATTATGGGTTTCATTTGCAGCCTGTTATTCCTAGATGGCAATGTATGTGGGTTATACATGTCATCTGGTCGCCACAGTGCACCACTCCTGGTTTTAGTGGTGGTGGTGGGGGGGGTTGGCTCATATTCTGTAGCATAATAACCCTAAATAGACTGTAAGGGAATTCCTGTACAGCAACTAGCTAATAGAAATAAGCACAGGCTCAAGGATGCACAAGCACAGGTGCGCACGCGGGAGCGTGCCCACTGTTTCGGGCGCCAGACAGGCTATTTAAAGGAAGCTCTTACTCTCTGTCAGTGCTGACTGGTCTTCAGCTAACTTCCTGTTTCCTGCTGTATCCTGTTTCAGTTACTGACCCGGCTTGCCATTGACCTGCTCTTAAATTCTGTTTATGCTTCTGCTCATCGGTTTCTGATCCTGGCTTCCTCCTGACCACGTCCCTGTCTGATGTTTTGGTCTCATTGCCTGCACGTTGCTGACCCTGGCTATTACTCCAACTACGCTTCTGGCTCTAGTTTTGGCCTTACAGTCCTTGCTCTACAGTCCTGCCGAGTGCCTGTCCAGTCTGTCATTGCATCAGCTCCGGTTATCACGCTTATCAGAAGTTCCGGCAAGCCACGTACACAGATCTTGCAGTTCCAGTGGAGTGCGTCTGTAACCCCAGCTGGCCGTCTCGGCATCAACTCTGTTCCTGACTGGATGCCCATCACCAGCCGCAAGTTCCACAATCAATATCCACAGCCACTCGTGTTCCTCCTGTCCCTCGCCACCATCTGTTTCACCTTCAGTGGGGCCAGGGTTGGAGATACAAGAGAGGCTTACCTCGTCAATTCAGACTTCTATCAGGTACCTGACATAGACCCACATCTGCTTTGGATCATGATCACATAGCCTAATAAAGATTCTCAACTCACTGATGGCTAAAAGGGTACAGATTGGGTAAGTAAATACCGTAGTTCTTAGAGTACAGTGCAGTGCTTCAAACAACTTCAAATTTCTTTTGCTCCTTCCTGACGTTATTGTAGCCATATCACTGCACTTGCAACCAAAACAACTGAGTACTGCGTGATACTTTTTATTTTGCACCAACATTCAAGCTTTGAGTTTGTACCCCTTCTTCTAAGGTCCAAACAGTACTAATACACAACGTTATAGCAGAATATTAACATTCTCAGTACTCAATTTTGGTGAACAGCAGACCAGACCACCCAAGTGCTCAGTCTAAGGAAACCACCTCTATATTTGCATGCATGCCCTCCAGATTGGATAAGTCTCAGCATAGGGGTCGCTTATGCCTCCCTTCCAAAGAGAAACACTATCATGAATCTCCTCACTGCCATACACAACCTAGTCACAGGGCTTGGGAGTGTAGTGGAATCCCATTAGCAGGCAAACTGGTATGTGAAAAGCACTTTTCAGATTTTACTAGAAGACAGGAGACAAAAAGCAAGTGTTTTCAGTCATCTACCAGATGGTTAAGGAGTCAGTGGTGGCTTCAACATCAATACAACTTTCTGGCACTGCATGCTCGACCCCTGAAGAACAATCTTCAGAACAGGATAATGTAGCATTATCAGACGAGGCGATGGCTCCACAAATCGCCTATTCATGCTTTGATTTCACCCTAGTAACTCCATTCATTACCGCAATCACACAGGCAGTTCATATAAAAGATCCAGAGAAAACCCCAGGAAAAATAAAAAAAAAAAAAAAAAAAAAAAAAAAAAAGAGAGAGAGGACATATTTCCCCCAGTTTAAAAAGCAAACCGCTTCTTTTCCTTTAATGAATGAAATTAATGATCTGATGCATGAAGAGTGTAAAAAAGTGGTTTAAGAAACCAGCACTCTAAAATAGCCTGTCTAAACTGTATCCTTTGAGGAATTCAAAGCCATCCTATACTAATCTCCGTTCAATTGCATATCAAGCAATAGGGGGCAATTGTAGGCCAGTCATAGCATTGACCTCTGTTTCAAAAGCTTTAAGAGCCTGGACAGAAAACATCAAAGCCCTTCTAACCAACCTAGTATATACCAACCAGATAATTCTTGCTCTTGATGAACTCAAATTGTCAGAGAACTTTGTGGCAGTGGCTTCTATAGGCACAATAGAATAGTCAGCTAGAACAATGTTCCACAGGAGTTGTTTCATGCTTGATTGCTACACAGATCTGGAATAAATACACAGAGGACACTAAGGGGTGTATTTCTAAAAAGATTTTAGAGCTATCCTTCCTGGAAACCACATATACATTCATTCTGTGTGAATGGGGCAAAAACAAAGGTTATATTTCTCTTTGGGTAAAATGTCATTCTTCATACAGGTTGGAACAAATCTGGAAAATAGAGCTTTATAGCTACTAATGGATCTGACAATCATAGTAAATAGGCATTTTTTTTTTGTTGAATTTCAAACTTAGGCCTAACTCCAGCTTTGCTATCACTTTAGTTTGTTTGGGCAAGTAAAGAAAATACCTGTTGATCCTGCTGGAAATGCAGGGGCTTTGTTTTGTTATCGGTTTAGCTGACAGAAAATGACAATCTTCTCTTTTTTTTCTGTAAACTATTAATCCCATCTATCCCCATAGAGATGAACAAAGGTAGACATGTTTAAAGTAAATCCACCAAGGTCAGGAAGTGTGTTATTCACAGGATTACCAGGTAAATATAAAGGAAAAAACAAAAGGATAAATAAAACAAATGCAGCCACCACAATGGACATGTAAACTGTAATATATTAAATTTTTGTGTTTAGATATATTTTATGTTCTGTTGATCCCTTGCTACAGATTGTGTACGTGACAACTGCTGTGGAGTATTTTTGCACACAGCATGCCATGAGATTTCAGCTGGCCTTTTCTTAGCCCGGGTATCAAAATGAAACGAACAAAATTGATTGACTCCAATGGGAAATCACTATACTTTCCCTTTGTGCACATGTAGGGCTCACACAGGGAGCTGCTGTTTTGTCGCTTTCCCTGTTTTTCAGTGCCCATAACTCTGAAAGAAGTACCACACTCCCCAACACACTCGTGGCTTTAAATGGACTTTAATGAGCAGAAAAGGCCCTGCAAGGAAGCAACCAAAAATAATAATACAATTCAAAAGAGCACCTAAGGCAGCACACAATTGTAACAAACGAGACACAATATACAAATCTGTTGTAAAGAACAGCAAACTATCAAGGTGACTTGACAGAGTTAAAGAAGCCACTATCTAAACCACTGTCCAGTGGGCCTAAGTACAGTTAGGTGGCACGGGGGTCCTGGATCTCCCACTGGTGCGTTCGCTCTTCCACACAAGGGAAAAAAAAAAGGTGCAAGACCAATTCTTTCTATAGATGGCAACTTTATTTTCCAATAACATCAGCAAGGTCAATAATAAACAATTAGCCAAAGGACCTCGCACCACTCTTAAACACCCAAAGTATCTTCTTGAGGAGTCCATAGCAGTAGCACTGCACAGTTTAGTGGCACAGTCTCTGATAGGCACATTGCATGGACACAGCCTCTGATGAACACAGTGCAACAGTTTTACTCTTGGCGGCCATCACTTCCACACAAATATGGCAGTTCCTTAGTTCTCATACCAGGCAACATACAGCAGAATGGGGCAACACAGTACACACGGTTTCCTCTCTCTGTGTTTTGTAGCAGCTCAGTCCACATAGGCCATTGTGCAGCCTGGAACCCTATGACTGTGTTCAGTGATCTTTTTCACCAGCAGCAGCCAGCCAGAGACCCTTTTCTGCTTCCTGCCTCAATCTACTGCACACTCCACAGCCAGTGCCTACAACCTTGTCTTTCTTTGTGAGATTTTCTCCACACCTGCGCTCTCAGTTCTCTTTTTTCCCCCTTTTTGCTCTGTCCCCTCACTTTTAGCACCCTGGGAAATGACGTTTTCTGCTCTCCTGCTGCTATTTCCCAGGGGCCTGTGTCTCAGTGTTGAGACTACATCTCCCATCAGCCCCAGTTCCTCCCAGCAGGTTTTGTCATTCCCAAGAAGCACAGCAGTCTATTATCCTCTTGCTCTGTGTCCCTCGGGTGGTGGGGGGCTTAATAAGACTGCTCACAGCGCTATAGTGAATGTGGGGGAATCGCAAAGACAATGTAATCTTGGCTACACACAGATTGTGGATTAATTGTACCTGGGAGTGAGGATTTCTTTGTACTGAAGTTTCTCCAGCTTAATAGGTGCCACGAGATTCATGGGGATAACAATATTGTCAATGTCATATGAGCTCTCACTCCTCAGCCTTCGCCTTGTCCCACTGACCACAATACCTGAGTCACGAGTCTGCAATATAAAATATAAAAACAAAATTAGATTCTCTTTGTACCTACAGAGATTTTTTTTTTTTTTTTTAAATAATTACTGCATTTTGGACCATATGCCATACCACCCAACAGTCCCAGATTGTGCAGGGACTGTCCCACTTTTAACCCTAATGCCCCGTACATATTATAAGAAAATTAAATGAAAATGTTCGTACGAGGACCGATCATTCAATAATCGTATCGTTAGTACACAGCTTTCGAGAGTCGATCACGACAATTCATGCGACAATATCCGAAGGGACAAGCGCAAACATTTTTCTCGTATGATACCAGATCGTATGATTTTCGTTTAATCAGTACAGTACTCGTCCGAAAATACAATACAAATACAATACATGACATCACTTTCAAAATTCTTTTCTTTCATAGGAGAATTTTCATATCTTTAGTAACCTTTTCACTTTCGATGTGAGACTAGCAGGCGAAAAAAAAAAACGGGTGATCGTTTGTCTGGTATTCTCATCATGTGTATGGGGCTTAAATCCTGCAGCCCCATGTACATAAGATGTGTCTTGCATCAAGCAGCTTTGTTGTCTCTTTAATTACTGTAGAAGATCCCTGTCGTTTGAGCCCACCCACTCAGTGCACTAGGGGGAGAAACTGTGTCACACCTGTCCTGCCCAGTCATGGCTTGGTGGGAGCAGATACATAGAGTAAGCCAATTGGTGTTGTCTTGCCTTTGATTGGTTCACTGTATGTAACTCCTCCCAACAAGCCAGAAATGTGGGGAGGGTGGAAGGGGGAGGGGCAGCTGTAAATTAATCTGCACTGTGTATAGAGCTCTGGCCATCTGCCCTGCAAGTCCATGGAGAGAAGAGGAGGCATCAAAATAGGTGGGCTTCGCTAGGGGGCTTAGTAGGTCCTCCATGTATCAGCACATGGAATGACATTTGCCTTCCTTAAGTGACCACCAAAGTTACGTAAGCTGTCCACAGATGGCTTGAATATTGGCTGGTACAGCAGGGACTGGCCAAAATTTGACCCTTGTATGGGAATGGCTGAATTTTCACTAAAGCTGCTGCAAGCAGGTATAGGAGGTGTAGTGGAATTTAAGGGACGGAGATTTGCAGTAGGGAAGGGGGTTCAAAGCACAAAGCTTGGCTGCATTCTGGACTCTATAAATAGTTACATTGTTTATGTTTTATATTTATTTTGCGGGGTCTCACATGAAAATGGTTATTTTTGCTAATTTCTCTGTGCCATCTTACCTTCTTTCAAGTGTCTGCCCCCCTCACTTCCTCTACACCTCTCCTAAACCTGCAGCAAGCTTGATAAAAATCCCACCCTATTGTGTCCTATCAGCACAGAGCTCTGCTGCAGCCAATGCACGCTGAAGTTTTTAACTATGGGGTGAAATGAAGCTCAACTCTATGTATGATTTGTATTGCATAGCTACATTGGTCCAGCTTGGTACATCGTGTATGCAGAGCTCAACTGTCGTTCCTGGAAATGTCCAGAGCTATGGAGGTGTGAGTGTTTCTCTGTCTCCATTTGGGGGGGGGGGGGGGTTTGTGCTAGTGGAAGGCTCTCTTGGGCAGGGGTGTTGTTGGCCACTATCAGGCTCCCTCTGCGTGGTTGGGGGGAGGGGGGTGTCCGTTTTTGTGTTGCCTAGGGCAGCACAAAACCTAAATACACCACTGCTCAGCACCACTATATTGATAGCAGTGATCTTCCGGGTCCTGTGCCCCCTCTGCACACTGACCACTGGGGTCACTTGCTTGGAACTGCCACTATTAAAAAAGATGCCTTGTATTTTTTTATGAACACAAGGCATTCTTCGATTAGATGAGGTGGAATGGAGAAGCAGTAATGTCAGAATCTCCAGCTTGCCAATTAGAAAACACATGGGGGGGGAAGGGTTCAATAAAGCTGCTATGCCACTTTTTTGTCAATAATCTCTCTTGTTAAGGTATTGCACCAAATTCATGAAGCCTATGTGACACTTTTGGCTCTGACAAGAGACTCATGCACTAAATTCCTAAATGTGTAACTTTTAAATTGTGTCACATTGAATGCACCAAAATCACTTGTGTTGCATTTAAATATGACAAATTCAAAATACTGACAGTTCATATCTTTCAAAAGTGGAGCTAAATAAGAACTCCCTTTTGGCATACAAAGATAAACTGGCACAGATAGATTTGGCTAAAGTGTCTCACATGCATACTAAAAATGGCGAACACATGAGAGACTTTTGAAACATCTGTCTGCGCCAGTTTTTATTAATTCTAGGGATTGTGTTAATTGAAAAAAAAAAAAAAAAAAAAGGCATCCGGGGAATTCAGTGACAGCCACTATATCTTATGGTTCTTGACCACAGCAGCTTCCCCTCTGTACACTGCTCACAGAGGGTTATTTGATCTGCACTGCCTCCATTCACAGAATCCCTTGTATTTTTTTTTTTAATGAATACAAGGTGTTCTTTTTATTTGATAAGGTGGATTTTGCAATGTCAATCGCCCTCCTCTCCACTTCATCTAATCAGAGAATGCCTTGTATTCATTAATTCAGCGTGCAGAGGGGAAGCCACTTGAGACGAGACCCAGAAGTTATTACATTGATTGTCAACTTTCTTAGCAAAACCTCAGGTATGAGATACAGTGCTGTGAAAAAGTATTTGCCCCCTTTCTGAATTACTTTTTTTTTGCAAATTTGTCACACTTAAATGATTAAGATAAAAAAAATGTAATATTACACAAAGCTAATCCGAGTAATGCAGTTTTTAAATGATGAAAGCAGCCCAAACCTGCCTGGCTCTATGTGAAAAAGTAATTGCCCCCTAAACCTAACAACTGGTTGTGCCACCCTGGGCTGCAACAACTGCAATCAAGTGTTTTGCGATGACTGGCAATGAGTCTTTCACATCATTGTGGAGGGATTTTGGCCCACTCTTCTCTACAGAATTGTTCCAGTTTTTCTCCATTTGTGGATAATGGCTCTCACCGTGGTTCACTGGAGTCCCAAAGCCTTAGAAATAGCTTTGTAACCTTTCATGACTGATACATGTCACTTACTTTGTTTCTCATCTGTTCATAAATGTCTTTAGATCGCAAAATGATGTGTTGCTTTTTGACATCTTTTAGCATGCTTCACTTTGTCAGAAAGATTCTATTTAAGTGAGTTATTGACTCAGCAGGTCTGGTAGTAATCAGGTCTGGGTGTGGCAAGTGAAATTTAACTCAGCTTTCCAAAAAATGTGGTTAATTAATTACAGTTCATTCATGAAGAGGGGATGGGGCAATTACTTTTCACATAGAGCCAGGCAGGTTTGGGCAGCTTTATGCAATTGCAAATAAATCAGGAAGGGGGCAAATACTTTTTCACAGCACTGTATGTATACTTACAGTGTGTGAGCTGGACCAAGTAAGTATACAAAAAAGATCATTCCTGGAGTGCAGCTTTAAGAATTTGACCACATCTCTTTAAAACAATACCCTTATAGTCACAAAAATTTTTGTTTTATGGCCACACCCACTTTTTATTGCCTGATGTACTCTCTGCATACTTCTTAAAGTATCATTGTCGAGTTCAAATGTTGGGAGGTATGCACAGCAATGTTCATATATTACCATTGTTGTGTAACTCACTATACATATATTGTATATATATATATACACAATAATGTTTAAAGGCATATATCATGAGGCAATGTAAGGGCAGTTTTGTATGTGTAATGCTAAATATTTAATTCACAGTGAGGAATTTACCAAGACTGGAGACAGAATCTGGAGCAATTGTGCATGGCAACCAATCAGTCTCTAGATTTCATTTCCAGAGCTTAATTGAACAAGCTTAAGCTAGAAGCCGATTGGTTACAATGCACAGTTGCCCCAGATTCAGTTTTTTCCGGTTTTTAATAAATTCCCCCCATACTGTCCTAAAACTTCACATATATTTACAATGGAAGGCTGCGTATGCGCAAATGTTATTATCAAGCTACATTTGAAACATGATTTGTGTAATACCAAGTCTAGCAGCTCAGTATTCTGTCAATTTCTAGCACAATTGACATTTTTACAGTTCATGCCTAGACATTGCTCTGTTTTTTTTTATAAAATATGATGTCAAGAAGCAGAGGTCTCAGGCAGCAACACTGGTTAGGTAAGATGGATGGGACAAATGCCCTAGGTATAAATTATAGCCCTTCAAATACTAGAATGCAAACATTATTATTATTATTATACAGTATTTATATGGCGCTAAAAGGTCTGCTCAGCGCTGTACATTATAGTGGGGGACAGTACATGAAACAATACAGTAAACAAAACACGAGGGGTTCAAGGGCCCTGCTCTTTTGAGCTTACAATCTAGGAGATACAATCAAGGAAACATCATCTTAAAGGGGTTGTACATGTTTTACTCAATTTCAGCTTAGGACTCAGGATTTAGTAAACCCTTTACTACCTGCAATAAAACAGAATAAAAATACTTATATTCAATGGCTGTCAAGAGAATTACCTGTGAGGAAGATTTCTGAGATGTTGGTGTCTTCATACTGATATCTTCAGAAGATGAAGGACTTGTGAAGTTACCAAACTGGCCAGAAAACCCCTGTAAATAGATCAATATTATATACAGTAGCTCCAACAATTTACACAGTGCTTTCCATTTATATTGTACATTTGCATCAGTTCTTGCCTTCAAGAAGCTAACAATTCAAGGTCCCCAACGCTCATTCATAAACATACCAGGGCCAGGACCCGATGGAAACCCATGCAGGCACAGGGAGAACATGCAAAGCCCAGGCAGGTAGTGCCATGGCTGAGATTTAAACCAACAGCCCTAGTGCTGCCAGGTGGAAGTGCTAACCTCTTAGCCGCTGTGCTTTTCTTTCTTTTAACTACCTGCCTACCAGGCCAGTTCCAACACATCTCACATACATGTAAAAATGAGCATTTTTTTGGAAGAAAATTACTTAGGAGTCCCACACATTATATATTTTTTAAGCAGAGGCCCTAGAAAATAAAATGGTGGGTGCTGCATTTTTTATGTCACGTGCTATTTTCAAATGCAATTTTTTGGGATAAAATACACTTTAATGACTTTTATTTAACACAAACACAATATAATACCCATTTTTTTTAGGTAAAATATAAAAGATTATATTACACAGAGTAAAGAGATACCTAAAATGTCATAAGAATACAGAGGTGTCTTACATAAAATCTACTAAAATCTTCTATTTTAACTTTTCCATTACCATGAACATAGTACACATGTTCACAGCAGTGGGTGTTTTACACGCTCTGTAAATGTCACACGCTGACTGCTGGCGAGATTGCTTCTATGGACTAACAAAATGGGCATTTTGTTCCAATTGTTTTAGTGTGGGGCAGAAGAGACTTCAGGAGTGTAATAGACCCTGATATCTGGAGGGGGAAAAAAACACAAAAACTGTCACAGCAAAATGCTATCACGTAGCATGTCCACCCCCTATGAGATAGCATCAAAGATAAGTATGAAAAAAGAAACGTAAAAAATTCAAGTTACACTCAAGTACTTAAACCTCCCCCCCAAACAAAATGTAATAATAAAGATTCTGCCCCCATGTACACACAGAGGTGAGTGGGGGGGGGGAGCGCAAAGACGCATCTACCCTGTGTGTGTTTGGGGATGGACCATCAGCAATGGGGGTTAGTAGAAGGTCCATGTGGAGGTGGTGTCCAAGTCCATCTGTAGTGGGGAGGGCTTATAGTAGTATGGACTTGTCCGAGGGGGCAGCCGGCTGAAAGAGCTTGTAGATACTCCTAATGAAGGTAGAGAAGAGAGACAGCAGTGTAGATGATTAAAATCAGGCAGATTTAATGGTAAAATTGCACTCACATAGGTAGGCAACAGGTATGCATGTCAAGTAATGGAGGTCCAGTGGGAGCACCAGGTCCTTAGGCCACGTTCTGGGTGTTTTCCCGCCGCTCTGGTGGTGTCCAGGGCTCGGGGAGTAGCAGAGGGGTGCAGGGAGGCTTACAGGGATGATGTCACCGCATGGACTGGTTTCCAAGATGGCGCACGTTTGGAGCATGCTCACTCCTTCAACAGGCCGATGAAGGAGTGAGCATGCATTGATATCATCCCTGTGAGCCTCTCTGTGCCCCTCTGCTGCTCCCTGAGCCCTGGACACCACTGGAGCGGCGGGGGGAAAACACCCATAGTGTGCCTAAGGACCTGATGTCCCCACTGGACCTCCATTACTTGACATGCCTACCTGTTACCTACCTATGTGAGTGCAATTTTACCATTAAATCTGCCTGATTTTAACTGTCCACACTTAGCGTGGCACTGCTGTCTCTCTTCTCTGCCCCCATGTACACATGCACTTAAACACACGTGTTGAGGACACCCAAGTATGAAAATATTGATTGCGCTACACATGGTACATATTGCAGCTCACACAGGAGTAAGAACAATAATTCTAGGAACATCATTTATGATTAGGGTATAACTAAAAGATACAACTTTTTTTTAGTTTTGAATAAAGTGGAGAAGGATTAGAACACCTGTCAGTTTTTATTGCTACCACTCTTCCAATGAGGACGCTAGTTCTGTTGACTTTGGTAACACCCTGTGATTTTAGAAATTTCATCTCACTTCCTGTTTTGGCTATGGGGCAGGAACTGAAGGGAAATCTCCTCAATGGGACACAGATGGCAAAAAAAACAGACAGGTGTTATAACCCTCCATTACTCAAAAAAGTAAGAAAAAAGTTTTGCCTTTAGTTCATGTTCAGCTCTAAACTAATGATCTGTTAAGGCTTTTAAAGAATTACATATGAAAATTTGTGTACGGACATTTGTAGCCATATCATAGGCGCACACCATTTTATGGCTTGATAATTTTGTTCGCTATTTACTTGGCACAACCATATCTTTTATATTTCACCATAAAGGGTAATATCTTGCATTTATGTGCATTAAAATTAACGTCAGTGGGTTTTTTTTCCACTAAAAACCTTTTTTGCTAAGATCATGGGATATAAAAACTACCACCATTTTATTCTCCAGGGTCTCTGCTTGCAGATATATTATATTTAATATTATAATATATTGATTGGCTGTTTTACCTAATCTTTAGGCCTAAAACATGCATTTTAATATGTGCACAAAATCACAAAACTAGCTCTGCCAGTGAAAGGAACAAATTGTAACTGCGCCTTTGTAGCAGAGGACACACTCTGTAGGATTGAATAGAGAGAGTATACTTGGTAAGTGTGGACTTCATTGGATGGTTTCCCCTCCCCCCCCTCTGGTATTAAATTATAATCCTTCAGAGCACTAGAATACAAACATTGCCCCTTTAAGGGGTTGTACACCTTTCACTATTCAAATTTCAGGTTTTGGACTTTGCTACATGTCCCATGTATTGAACTGTTTACCACCTGCAAAGAAACATTGATAGTTTTGCTGTAAATAATACTCACATTTGGTGGCATTCAAGAGGATTACCTGTGAGGAAGATTTCTGAGATGTTGGTGTCTTCATACTGATATCTTCAGAAGAGGATGGACTTTTGAAGTCACCAAACTGGCCAGAAGACCCCTAAAAAAATATATTTTTTTTCTTTATTTAAGAATGCAGGGGTGTCTTACAGAGTTCTGCTTTAACCCTCTCATCACCATGAATGTAGTACATGTATCCACAGCAGCAGGTGTTTTACACACACTACATGGAAATTTCACAAGCCAACTGCAGACATTCTGTTCTATTAGCTTAACCTAATCAGCTGTCTCAGTAAAAAAAAAAAAAAAAAATCACAGCAAAATGCTATCACATAGCATGTCAGCCCCCTATTAGACAGCATTAAGGTTAGGTAAAAAAAAAAGCAAAACATTCAAATTACACTTAAGTGCTTAACCCCCACTCCCCCCAAATATCAAAATTTAAACACTTCAAGTCCAGACACTTTCACCCCCTTCCAGTCCAGGCCAATTTTCAGCTTTCAGCGCTGTCACACTTTGAATGACAATTGCACGGTCATGCAACACTGTACCAAAAAGACATTTTTTGAATTTTTTTTTGCGACAGATAAAACTTTCTTTTGGTGGTGTTTATTCACCATTGGGATTTTATTTTTTGCTATATAAATGAATAAGACCAAAATTTTGAAAAAAGGGTTTTTCTTATAAAAATCAAGTCAATTTTAAAAAATTTTTTTTAATTTGTAAATTTTTTTTTTAGATTATTAATTTATGTATTTTTTTTACATACTGTCACCCTAGCAGTACAGTGTCACCATAGTGACACTGTACTACTTGTGGGGGGTGATAAAGATTTTTTTTTTTTTTTTTTACACTGATTGCTTTTACATCCATAAAGGCTGTAAAAGCAATCATCTCTCCTCCTCTCTGGCTGCATTCCTGCAGCCATTGAGAAATACTGCAAGAGCTGTAATTGGTCACAGCTTTTCACATGGTACAAGGCTTTTGTGAATAGCCTTGTACCATGTGACCTCTGTGATCATTCACAGAAATCACAAGTAGTAAAGAAAGATGTCAGGAAGTGACATCTTGTTTACTACTGTTCATGTGATCACTGATTGGCCAATCAGTGATCACATGAATCTGGACCTCACACAGTGCTCCCGTACAGCAGTGGTCCCGTCACACAGTGGCACAGATTGCCGTGCTGCACTCTCCCAGGGACCGTGCACATTCAGGGACCGTGCACATTCAGGGATCGGCAACGCTCCCATCCAGCCGTTTATTGACAATGGGCCGCATGGGAAGAGGTTAAAGACCCTTGTCCCCATGTACATAAACACAAGTGTTAGGGTTGCCTAGTATGAAAATATTGGTTAGGCTACATACTGGAGTGGGAACAATAATTTTAGAAACATGTATTTTGAAAGTATAACTAAATGTAGTTATACCTTTATGCCAATGAAAGGGATCAAATGTAACTACATCTTTGTAGCAGAGTACGCACTCTATAGGATTGAATAGAGAGCACATACCTTGCATCTGTGGGCCCCATTGGAAGGTGCCCCCCTCCCCCATGAATTAATTATAATCCTTCAAATACTAGAATACAAATATTGCCGTAAAGAGGTTGTATACTATTTACTCTATGGTGACTTCAGCTTTGGGCCCTGCATGCCCCATGTATTAAACTTTTTTACCCTTTGCAGGGAAACACTGGAGGTGTTACTGGTCATACTCACATTCGATGGCTGTCAAGGGGATTACCTGCAAGGACGATTTCTGAGAAGTTGGTGTTGTCACACTGATATGATTAGTTTCAGCTTGAGCAGCATTGTTAGAGGTGTTTAAAGTCACTGTGTTAGACAAAAAGACAGTGGTTTCATGTATGAGACGTTATTATATATTCCATAGTCAGACTAGACTTTCTCTGCTCCTAGGATGGCACTCTCCACAGAATTATTTCTTTAATGTGTTTACAAACAACATATATGACAAATGTGTATAGCGGAAAGAAATGTTCTAAACTATCTAAAAAATATATCCAAAATTTTAAAAAGTACACTACAGGAGAAAATGGAAAACATGAAGTGACTCACTGACAATAGGCAGGCCATTCAGATCAGGCAAAACTTCTGCACTTCCTGGTATTGATGAAGTTTGCCTGCCCCCACCAACACAGTTTTATAACTACAATAGGCTGCTTTACTGACCAATAGGAATTGGTGGAAGGGGTGGGCAACCGTAGGGATCTGCTGCCCTCAACTGTTAGCTGCTAATATCACTGTATAATTAATTATGTATTAGCACTTCCTCTCTTTGGGGAATAGCTTAATTGTATATGGTAAGCCCTCACCTTGTAAAACAACTAATTTATTTTAAAATAGAAATGAAAGACAAAACATTTGTGTATACATATAAAAAACCATTATAAATACCTTTTTCCCCAATTTTATTAGTGATTACATACCTCCTACCTCTAAGCTCTTTATGCAGCTTAGAACAGAGAGCTGGAGGAGGAGAAACAGCAGCACACTGAACTTCCCAGTGAATGACTATGCGTTAAGGGGGGGGGGGGGCCTGTGAGCAGAAGTCTGATAATAAATTCCCAGCACAGCCAGAAAACTGACCATGCTGTTCTCTTATGTCTAGTGTAGTCAGTGTTTAACAGGAAATCAGAGGAACTGGCAGGAACACCAGGGATTTCACACAAAAAGGAGGCTATACAAAGAGAACAGGATACTTTTTCATACAAGTACATGCTACAGCAGGCACATATCAGGAATATGAAGTGTTGGATTTACATATCCTTTTGAAAACCTCAGAAGGAGGAAGTGGAGAGAGCGAGAAAGAATCTGATACCACATGTCCACAAACTGGAGCTGCATTACTGCAATACTCTATTTTTTTCCAGACCAGAATTATTCTCATGTTATGCCCCTACTCTTGATATGAATTCTAGTGACAGATGAGTCTCTGATCTATTGTTATTATCTCATATGTACAGTGTCAGATAGATAAGGTCTGTGCTACTCTATGTATGTAGTGGTCACCTTCCAGTGTATTAGTAGGTAAACCAATTTATTGCAATAGAGTTTATATTCAGCTCCTGTCCCTTCTAAGCTGGCATTCTATAGCTAGTACTCGATAACCAGCATACACTATATCGCCAAAAGTATTGGGACACCTGCCTTTACACGCACAAGAACTTTAATGGCATTCCAGTCTTAGCCCGTAGGGTTCAATATTGAGCTGGCCTACCCTTTGCAGCTATAACAGCTTCAACTCTTCTGGGAAGGCTGTCCACAAGGTTTAGGAGTGTGTCTATGGGAATGTGTGACCATTCTTCCAGAAGCACATTTGTGAGGTCAGGCACTGATGTCGGACCAGAAGGCCTGGCTCGCAGTCCCCGCTCTGATTCATCCCAAAGGTGTTCTATCGGGTCAGGACTCTATGCAGGCCAGTCAACTTCCTCCATCCCAGACTTGCTCATCCATGTCTTTATGGACCTTGATTTGTGCACTGGTGTGCAGTCATGTTGGAACAGGAAAGGGGCCATCCCCAAACTGTTCCCTCAAAGTTGGGAGCATTAAATTGTCCAAAATGACTTGGTATGCTGACGCCTTAAGATTTCCCTTCTCCGGAACTATGGTGGCAACCCCAACCCCTGAAAAACAACCCCACAGCATAATCCCCCCTCCCCCAAACTTTACACTTGGAACAATTCAGTCAGGAAAGTACCATTCTCCTGGCAACCGCCATACCCAGACACGTTCATTGAACTGCCAGACAGAGAAGCATGATTCATCTCTCCAGAGAACACGTCTCTACTGCTCTAGAGTCCAGTGGTGGCAAGCTTTACGCCACTGCATCTGACGCTTTGCATTGCTCTTGGTGATGTAAGGCTTGGATACAGCTGCTCGGCCATGAAAACCCATTCTTTGAAGCTCTTTACACATTCTTGTTGTGCTAATCTGAAGGCAACATGAAGTTTGGAGGTCTTCAGCTATTGACTCTGCAGACAGTCGGCAACTTCTGTGCACTTCAGCATGCACTTAACCTGCTTTGTCTTTTTACGTGGCCTACTACTTCGTGGCTGAGTTTCTGTTGTTCCCTATTGCTTTCACTTTATTATAAATACCACTAACAGTTCACCATGGAATATTAAGTAGCAATGAAATTTCACGGATGGACTTATTGCACAGGTCGCAACCTATCACGTTACCAGGCTTGAATTTACTGAGCTCTTCAAAAGTGACCCATTCTTTCACAAATATTCGTAGAAGAGGTATGCATGCGTAGGTGCTTGATTTTATACACCTGTGACCATGGAGGTGATTGGAACACCTGAATTCAATGATTTTGAGGGGTGTCCCAATACTTTTGCCAATATCCATATACAGTATTATGGTCCATATCCATAATATATGGTCCACATGCAATCATCTGATGGTCCGAACCACTCCTCGATACAGGATTTTGAACAATCCAAAAAGCCCATATGTTGTCAGGCTACAGCTTTGGCCTGCTGGCCGTTCGGTCCGTTGAGCTTCATGTGTGAAGTCTAATTACAAAATTTTGATTTTGCTTCATATCCATCCTGAAATAGTGATGACTATATCAGCTGAAACATCTTTGTACCATACCCCAGTGGTGCCCCCAACTAGGAGTTGTAAGGGCAGCATTTCCTGTTACGTGATCCTGTCTGGGGGGATTTGGGGAGCGTTGGATGCATATGTCCCTTGTTTTTTTTTGTGTAAAAAAAACTGTGGTAGCTCTCTTCATTCATAACTTGATGCAGGGTCTCTTGTCCTATTTAGGCACTCCTGAAGAAGAGATTGTTTGATGTCCTGAAATGTGTCAAGTGTCATATTATGACTTAAACCCCGCTTTGTGTTTGTATATAATCTAAGCTTAATGAATGTACAGTCGCTTGCATTTGTGGGTTATGGGAATTTTTTTTTATGTTTTGTACACAAAAACATTGATTAAACTTTTTATATTTAAAGTGCCTTTAAAGTCCCACCACAATTAGAGGGTTCTTTTCCGTTTTTACTATTGACAATATAGTGTATGCTAGAGCCAGGTTAGGCATCCGACAACCACTTCTGGTAGTCAGAGGTCTGGTTGCATGTCAGGTTAGAAACTACTAGGGAGGGACTAAAGCACAAAATAGATAAGCGGACTCTGAGTTCCAGTGTCACACCATGGTTTCTGCATGTGTGAAGCTGCATTCCAGGCTTGTTGGAGAACAATTGGAGGATCTCTTCAAATTTACATATTTTTAACAAGCAGTAAAAAAGCTTTGAAACAAGCCATCACTTACACCTATCAGCCATAACATACTGACAGAAAAAGAAAAACAGTGCCTTGAAGTATAGACTTTAAACAATTTTAATGGACCTAAAATCAGGCAACTCACATGGTAAAGTATGATAACAGGCTCATCAGACAACCAATGATAACCTGACTGCCATATCTCCAAGAGTGGACACTGGGAAGGACTGGGTAAGTAGCAGGAGTGGTGCGAGGAAGTCCAGCCAGCACCTCTATCACTCCATAGCTTCCACTGGAACACATTCTGGAGCACAGCTCCAATATGCAACGCGTTTCTCAGCATGCACAAAGTCCATAATGGACAGACATGCTCCTCTCTCAAGCTACTGATGGACATGATTAGAGAGCCTTATATGGACAAGCTGATAATGAGCAGGGGATGACACTGGCAGCTTATGGGACTGCAAGGCTCAGCGGGGTATAATTTAAAATAATGATACATTGTTTTACAAAAATATTTGAATACAACTAATTAAAATGGTTCTCCTTTAAAGATTTTGACAACTGACTCGATGGCTTCCTAGAAGTTTTCTCACTGGATAAGGGACAAGTGAGTATAGGTCTTACAGAGGAAGCTAGTGGCAGGAAAAAGTATAATATAATCATAACTGCACCAAACGCTACACTTATCCAAAAAGCATAAAATTGGAATTTCAACTTACCTGTAAATTCCTTACTTGAAGTACAGTGCAGGACATAGGATTGGTATTCATAAACCATGGTTTAGATGCTGCTACCTTCAGGTGATTGGACACTGGCAACAGCTTTTGGTAGCCCACCCCTAGAGCTTGCCCATATAACCCTACCTACTCTGTGAGACTCCAGTCTTCTTTAGCAAGCAATAAGCAGTGATCAAGACACAGAGTGCAAGGACCTATGTCCCGTACTGTGCTCAAAGATAAGGAATTTACAGGTAAATCAAAATTCCTATTGCCTTAATTGTACAGTACAAGACGCAAGACCAGTATTCATAGACTATGGGATGTACTCAAGAAATACAAATCAGGGGTGGACAACATACAGTAGCAACATAAACTGCCAATAGGCCCACAAAAAACACAAGGGTTAAACTTTTGGGGGAAGGAAATTTCTCCACTGCCACCACTACAAAAACATGTTCTCAATACTTTCCTCCATAATTCAGGTAAGAAGGTTCCACACAACCTCTGCCCACTAAACCGCATAGTGTGCTAGGAAACGGAGTCCATCTTAAGAGAAAACCTCACTTACTAATCCTTGTTGCCCATCACAGTGGGCATACCCTCGAAAGGGTCTTCAGGGTCTCGGAACCATAGAAATGAATCATGGTCCTGGACTCGTATAACACCCTGCAGCTAACTTCAAATGCTGCACTTCGTGCCAAGGTGAGTGCCTGACACAAACATTATAGGCTGGCCCACAGAGTGGGGTATGGTCCCCAAAGTACAAACATACGACAATCGATCTGGAAAGGGCCAGGTAGAGCAGGGCGATAAGCACGCAGGATCTTGATGAAAAAAATTCAGATGAAAAAACTTAAAACTGGCAGACTAGGAACATACCACTTTAATTTAAAAAAAGAGACATTACTTTTGTGAAGAACAGGTCCAGCACCTAAGGAAACTAGCAAAAAAAATGGAATCTCACAGAGAGCACGAGGTTATATAGGTAGAAGCTAGGGATGGTCCTAGCAAAAGTTTCTGTCAGTGTCCATAAATCTGATGGTAGCAGCATAAAATATACATCCAGGACAAATTGGGCTTTCTATTGGTGGTAAATGGTAACAGATATCTCCTGTTTTGTTTTTTGTTTTTCTGTAATCAAGGGAAAACTGGCCTAAAATAGTAAAAAAATCATTTTTTTTCGTAATTTAGCTGTAAATGTCTTGCTACTACCATAACCTACCACAAAAAAAACAACCCAAACTGAATTATCCTGCTCCTGATGATCACAGTGATACCACATATGTGCATGTTATTTGTTGTTTGTACCCATAGTAAGGCTCAGAAACAATAGTGCACATTTTTTATTTTTATCCTACCTGAAACATCCTGACACTGACCGACACTAATACTACTTTTAAAAATGCTTTTTTTAAAAATCAAACCTGTCCAAATGTACTGATCATGACCTTTGACCCTGACTTTGACCTTCACTTGACTCTGATCTAGATCTAAGATTGATCTAGGTATTTTTTCTTTATTTCTTCGTTTTTTTTCTACTACACACTTTTGTTAACATTCTTCCTGCATGAAAGAGAAACAATGCTTCTCTCTGCTCAAAAAAAAAACACAGGGGCAGGCTGCACAGTGACTGAGCACTGTGATAGCCAATCAGAGGCTAACATAGCGATCAGGTGACCCAGAACTAGGAGTCCCGGGTCCTGATCGTTAGTATGGAACCCAGGCATCCTGGTGACAGCCCAGGATCTGTGCTGGGAGTACGCTCCCAGCACAAACACTGATACACATATATGGCCCCATGGAAAAAAGCCCAGTTCTGTAAGGACGCATATATGTGTATGGTCTGTGTAAAGGGGCTAAGCTGGTTTTGTTTTTTTTATTGAAGCTCTGTGGTGCAGTGCTAGTAGAATCCTCTGTTAACAAGAAAAAATGAACCGTAAAATCACAGCACACAAAAAAGTGCACAGAAATGGCCAAACCTCCGAATACAAAGGGCCTCTAACCCTGAACTTCCCCAGGGTGTAAGGCTCCTGACAAGGTACTCCATGGCTGAAGTTGGTTGGGAAGAGGTAAAAGACCCGAAGGCCACAGAACTTCCCACTGGCCAGGACAGGCCCTGATAACCTGCACCCTCTGTCTCTGTGCATAAAGTATAAAAGCAACAAACACACATGCAGTACAAAGTGCTAGTGATAAATAGTGAAAGTACAACATTGCTTTACTGACAAATGCTCTGTTATTGACAATACAGTAATAGAAAGATTTACCCAGATCAGTCACCCTTGCACTGCTCCTTTCATCCTTACACGGCTCATAGAAAGACTCTGGAGTAGTACTACTTGTAGATGAATTGTTCGTATCTAGAGGCAAAATCAAATAAATAGTTAATGAAGGAAGCCAAATATTCTGGTACAGGCATGCACCAGGCACGTTCTGTATACCGGTATTCCATTGTACACTGGGAGAATTAGAATATGCCCTGCAGAAACCAATTAAACGCATTATGTGTATCCTATTGCCTTGTGTTTGTCTTTGCACAACATTAGCCAAAGAAAATATACTCCCTTTACGGTTTAGTGAACCCAGCTAGCAGTCATAATCTAGTTTGTTTTACTCTGCATTAACTAAAACCCAGAACACAAACAAACATATATATATGGAGAATCTAAAATAATTCACAGAATGGATTCCAAAATAATTATAGTACATTCCTTATCCTATTAATACATTTGTCTAAAACACCAATGGTTGAACCAGCAGAAGAGTACTGGTTAGTGCAAGCACACCAAGTTGATGAGGCAGCTTTGATTAGAGAGACCTCATGAAAGGTTCATAGAGTCTAGGCTTTTTTCCCTCTGTTTGCACCGGGTAATCTGGCCAGTAACACACCTCCTGTATTAGAGTGCCCTCACTCTGGATGAAGGAGCACAAGGGACACCTTTGGACAGCAGCATTGTTATTCTGGGGGGGAGAGGAGTGTTAGGTGTATTAGCCGATTTGGATACACTAACAAATTAAAGCCAAACTCCAGCTAGCAGTGCAGTTAGACAAGCAGTTACAGCAACAGTTTTTCCTTTTGGGATAAAGATTTCACATCCATAAAAAAATCTGATCACTGTAATCACCCCTGTCAGTGGTAAATGGTTTGTCTCAACATTCTAAACTGCCACATTTGCAGGACAGCTTGTTCTGTTGAAAAACAGAAAAGCCCTGCTTGAGGATTTAAAGTTGTCCTATAGTGATAAATCTACCTTTATGGATGTTCCTGGGAAGACTACATCACCAAAGAGATCTGGACTTCTAAATGCAAGATCCCGGGGGAAAAAAAAAGGGCATTTTTTTCCCACAAATGATTGTAATATTGTACAACACATGTGCTAGATGAGATGCATGACGTCATGACATTACAATCAGCTGCTTGGAGAAAAAAAAAAACTTGCAAAATGTCAGGGGAAAGTCTTTTTTTTCTAATAGGGTAATGTAGTACAGCACATGCATGAGATAAGGCACATCATATAAATCAGCGGCTAGTTTCCTTGTAATCCTCTGCCGATTCACCGATAACATCATATGCCTCATTTTACACATGCGCCATACTGGCAGGGGACACAAAGTGCTGAGATTAGGGAAACTGTGTTAGGAGGTAGGTCAATCTTTTAACTTTATTAAAGCTTCAACACTAACTCGCACATCTGATGCACACGAGTATGAAAATGATGATTAGTTTTCCCTGTGCACATCTGTAAGCAGGTGATAATTGCGGTTACTTTTTGGTTATTTTGCCAGTGTTACCGTATTTAAATATTCTGGCTGATTGCTGCAGGGGTCAGGTTGTGTGTTTTTCCTCTGAAGATGTGTCATATCCTGTTTATGTAGGTATATATACTGCTGCAGAGGACCAGCCCAGGGCTGCCCATGGGACCCATTGAAGTTTGATGGTCAGAACAGACTGCTGTGCTGCAATTCCTCCTCTGCTGCCACTATCCCTACAAAGGGCCCATGTTCAGGAACTTCAGTTATTATGGACATTATCCATCACAGGTATGGGTGCACAATGTCTTAAGCACCTACCTTATCTTTTGGGAAACCAGCTAGGGACAGTGTTATGTTACAGCAGCACAGACTCATCTGCCGCAGACAAATTATGTGATGATTGAGGAGAAATGTATTTGTGCTTCCTGAAAGCCTCAGCAAAAGGAACCTATTTTAAGCCATCAATGGTGGAGAAGGATCTGGGAGTTCTGGTAGATCACAAGCTTAATAATGGCATGCAACGCCAAGCTGCAGTTTCTAATGCGAGCAAAATCCTCTCTTGTATTAAAAGAGGTATAGACTCCAGAAAGAGAGCTATCATATTACCCCTCTACAAATCATTAGTAAGGCCTCATCTGGAATATGCAGTTCAGTTTTGGGCACCAATTCACTAAAAGAACATTGGGGAACTGGAGAAAGTACAGAGAAGGGCAACCAAACTGATAAGAGGCATGGAGGAGCTCAGCTATGAGGAAAGATTAGAGGAACTGAATTTATTCTCTCTTGAGAAGAGGAGATTAAGGGGGATATGATCACCATGTATAAATACATCAGTGGTTCATAAAGTGAACTCGGTGTAGTTATTCACCCTGAGGTCATCACAGAGGACAAGGGGGCACTCTTTATGTCTGAGGAAAAGAAATTTAATCTCCAAACACGGAAAGGTTTCTTCACAGTGAGAGCTGTGAAAATGTGGCATAGACTCCCTCAAGAGTTGGTTCTGGCCAGCTCAGTGGATTGCTTTAAAAAAGGTCTGGATTCTTTCTTAGATACACAGAATATAACTGGATACTAACATTTATAAGTAAAGTTGATCCAGGGAATATCAGATTGCCTCTCGGGGGATCAGGAAGGAATTTTTTCCCCTGCAGGAGCAAATTGGATCATGCTTTGCTGGGGGTTTTTTTTGCCTTCCTCTGGATCAACTGTGGGTATAGGTTTATAAAACTTTTTTTTTTTTTTTTTTTTAATGGTTGAACTGGATGGACTTTTTTTCAGCCAGATTAACTATGTAACTATGTAAGCAAAGAAGCTGCTAGTCTCTTTGGCTAACCAGAGTGTCTACTATGGGATAAGTCTAACCTTGGTGTGTCTGAAGAACCTTACAATAGGAGCTAAAGCCATTTAACCCTCTGAGTTAAGCAGCCTTAGGTTGCTGTTAGAACATTTGTACCTGGTAACCCCTGTGGTTGAGTACATTTGCAGAACAAACACACTTGGATGGTGGCCAGTTTGAGAGGAAACAGGTGACAGTGGCAAGAGACTGTAGCCCAGTTGGGTGGGATATCCGGTACACTTTATGTCCCTCACCTCGTGGTAATTATATTGAGACCCACTGTGGCACAGGGTCAACCAGAGGCCTGGCCTGAGGTGTCACAAGAGCAAGGCCTTGCGTGAATGATAAAGTAGTGGCTTCCTGAGATGTGAGCTGTTATGGCGAAGAGAATTCATAATACAGTGTGACAGGATGGGTCAAGTGTTTGTGTCCAAGAAGGGACACGGGAAACTAGAGAGATGTGGGGCATGCTCTGCATCACCACCCTATAACAGGTAATCCTCAAGGTGAGAAGAGGTTATGTGCCTAGGAACCAAAGTGTGAATAATTCCTGTAATGGCTTGTGGTTTGCAAAGTCACTCCTAACACCCGCACACTAAATGAGAGAAATAATTCTAGCACAAATATTTACAGTAAACATTAAATTGATGAGGTGTAAAGACTCTTAAAATGTTGCCTATGGATAATTTTGAGTACCGTAGTTTATTTGCCATTTCACAGGTATGCACTGTTTTGCAGTTAGAGGTATTTATTTACTTGATGCAACCTCATCTCTAACAATTTTTTTTCACATTAAGCCTGGGTTCACATATGTGCAGTGCGGTATATCGCATGTGATTCGCACAGGAACTGCACCGCATTCCTCTGCAAATCACATGCGATTTATGTGCGGTGCGATTGGAGCCATACATTTTGTATGGCTCTATTCGCACCACACCCGCACCAAAAACGTGCAGGACCCTTTTTTGGGTCCGCACTAGAATTGGATGGCATGGGTATACACACCTATGCAATCCGATTCTGCACATCACACATCGTTTTGCAGACTGCTTTCGGGGTATTGTTCACTTAACATACACACCTGCAGCGTTTCGCATGAACGGGGTGCCATTCTGGTGCGGTGCGGAATTCGCACTGAAATGAGAGTTCCGCCCCGCATCAGTGTGAACCAGGGCTAATTGTAGTGCACCCAAACACAACAGAACACCCATTATTTTTTTTTTTTCTTAAATTATAAGTGCCATCATTTTATTCAACATATTTCTTGCTTTTAGAAAATGTATAACACTTTGGGGTTTTCAGTAATCTTGAATCCTAAAATGCGCACTTTAACACGTAGAAAAACAAAAAACAAAAAAACAAATGGTTCCAGCAGCAAAAGGATTAAGTTAACTGCCGCACACATGTTCCATTCTGAGTGTACTTACAAAGTTTTTTTAAAACAAAAGGAATTTTGTTGGTTGTTGGATCAAGTACAGAGATAGGTTTTCAGTGTTCCATTTGTTGCAATACGGTATTGTAATTACCTTGGTATTTTTTCCTTCTTTCTTTGGCTTTTCTTTTACTTTGTTTATTCATTTTATTAATATTAATTTTGCTTCCCTATTCATTTTTATTTTATTTGAGATATTATAAATAAAGTCATGTATATAGAGAAGTATAGATAAAGAAATCTTGATTGCCCAATATCTTTAAGATCTATAACACTCTTGTATTGCAAGGGCCTGCCTGATTATGTTACTGCTGGAATACATTGTTCATGTGTTTTGTGCAACTTCATCTACCAGTAGATGGCAGTGTTAATAAGTCTGTAGCTGCATCTATGATAGAACTCTATGTCTTTTCTCTATAATAAAAGTTCCTGTTTCCTGTTAGCAGAGAAGCTTGGTACTTTGCTGAGCACTGGTGATGCTATATGGAAAATTTTTGGTTTTTAACTTTTTTTCTGCGGTAATTGTAAGCCAGCTCCATCATCTTTGTAATGTGTATAAGTAAAGCCATGATCTTTCAAAATATTCATCTGAGGACACAATAGCCAAAAGCAGCAGGCACCTTGTAAGCTTCCCCTATCCAGATGTTTGCCACCTTCCAAAACTGTATCCACTCACTCACTGGTCCCAAAAACAAAACCAATTTACACTGACTGCAACTGAACTGGTGGCCTGAACTGGCCCTATTTGCCATACAATTGTCCTCCCGCCAAACCTTCAGCATATTTTCAGGAATATTATTTCGGATTTCAGGTGGCATCATCACAGAAAAGCACATCAGATTGCTATTTGCGAGCAAAGAGAGGTTGACATTCATCAAAATGCAAGACTGGCTAAGCCATGACTTTCTGATGTCCATTCCCAATGCCACCAAATGTGGCTATTAAGAAAAAGAGAAAAAGACCATAGCCTACTACCACCAATTGGTTCTGCAAATGTTCCCGCAGCCAAAATACTCCATTACCTCCATTTGATCATCTTCACAATTTTCTAGGCACAATCCAGAAAAGATGCAGATATTGAAAAGGAGTCATAATCTTTTCTCACCAATTACACTCTCCCACACAGAAAGGTCTCTAAAACCTAACTTTTTGTGAAATCTGCAATTTGTGGAGTGAATATCCTCGAGCTAGTCGTGTCAGAACAACTGTTTTCTGATCTATAAAATATATATATTCCTTACACTATCAATAGTTAATGGAAAAAATGGGCTTGGCTTGTATTCTTAACAGTTTACACTTTTAAAAGGAAATCTGTAAAATTAATTTTAATGTAGAAAACCCCTTCAGTGAAGTGTAGTGCAGGGGGTCATTCACACTACATTCCCAGGAATCAGCTGAATGACACTTGCTCAAAGACCAAAGGTTACTCATTTTGATTTACCTTTCTCTTGTTAAACAAAAACCTAACACAGTGCAAGCATTGTTTTCTAAGTGGTACAGCTGAGTGCTTGGGAGTTTTCTTATGCTGTGCACTTACGATCAAATGGCTCTCTCACATGACTTGTTTTGGTTATATATTGACTGAGTAATTTACTGGCATTTCTCTTTGCAGTGTTTGGTCTTTGCTGTCCTAAGTGAACTTGTACAGAGAACAAGGTTAACCTCCAGATAAGCTTTTTCTAAATGTAGTCATTTATTCATAGGCACTAGTGTGTCTACTTCGACCATTTAGAGTTAGAACCACACTTGCTAAGGCACATGATAACTTTATGTTACTTCCAACTATATTCATCAATGTAAGTGACTAACTTTATTTATCACATAGAAGCAGGGTTTAACCACTTCCAGACCGGACACTTTTACCCCCTTCCTGACCAGAGCAATTTTCAGCTTTCAGCGCTATCAACTTTAAATGACAATTGTGCGGTCATGCAACACTGTACCCAAATGAATTTTTTACCATTTTTTTGAGACAGATAAAGCTTTATTTTGGTGGTATTTATTCACCGCTGGGATTTTTTTTTTTTTTTGCTATGTAAATGGAAAAGTCCCAAAATTTTGAAGAAATGTGTTTTTTTTAATACAATTTTGCAAATAAATAATATTCCATCATAAATCTTGGCCAAAATTTATTCTGTTATCTTTTTAGTAAAAAAAAAAAAAAAAAATCCAAATTAGTTTATAAGCAAAAATTATAATTTTTAAACTTTTTTTTACATTTTTATTTTTTTTTTTATTATTATTTTTTATTTTTATTTTTTTTTTTACATACTGTCACCCTAGCAGTACAGTTTCACCATGGTGACACTGTACTACTTGTGGGGGGCGATGAAGATTTTTTTTTTTTTTTTTTTACACGGATTGCTTTTACACCCATATAGGATGTAAAAGCAATCATTTCTCTTTCTCTCTGTCTGCATTCTTGCACTCATTGAGAAGTACTGAGTGAGCTGTGATTGGTCACAGCTTGTCACATGGTACAAGGCTGTTGTGAATAGCCTTGTACCATGTGACCTCTGTGATCACTCACAGATTTCACACGTAGTAAGCAATGATGTCACAAGTGACATCATTGCTTACTACTTTGCATGTGATCACTGATTGGCCAATCAGTGATCACATGATCGGGACCTCATACAGAGGTCCCGTCCGACGATCGGTGTTTCACTGTGTCCGGAGGACACAGCGGGCACCGGATTGCGGTGCTGCGCGCTCCCAGGGAGCGCGCACAAGCAGGGGGGGGAGGCCGTTTAAAACGGCCACCCAACCCTGCAGTGCCACCGTCCGGCCGTTTATATGCAACGGCCGGTCGGGAAGTGGTTAAATTAGCACTTATGTTTTAAAGAGACCCTGTATCTAGATATATGGTGTAGGCACCAAGAGGTACCAACACATATCTGCAGCATCTTTAAGAAACCTACGGATACAGACAGATAACAGGCAAAACTTTGGCACTGCCACACTGAGATAAAGCTTGCCTGCCGAGGCAACCCTTCATAGGGATAAACCCATGGGAATTGGAGGGAGTGGAACTTAGAAGAAAGCTTTGGCACTACCTGGAAGTGTTGGAGTACTGACTGTCAGTCTGTATCTACAAGTTCTTTGAAACTGCTGCAGGTTTAGAAGTCTCAAACAGAGCAAATTCTGTACTCCTGCGTTGGGGATGGACTCAGCAGAGACTAAGGTGACAATTCAAATATCCTGGAATATGCACTCCTTGCTGCCCTCAATGGACCGGGGTAGTCCAAAGTAACTGGATGCAATGGAAAACAAAAAGAGAGCGCATCGGCCTAGTGCATTATTGTAAAAAATATTTATTAAAAGGATAAAAAAAGAAGGTATCATACTCACAATGGACATATAAAACAAAAGGCACATCACAATAAACAGCGGTGTCCAATCCATATAGCATCTAAGTCCACAACAATGGAACCCTGGACTTCCAACTGTCTAACGTGTTTCGAAGACTCAGCCTCTTCCTCAGGGCTCTGTGGAGTTAGATGCTATATGGATTGAACAACGCTGTTTATTGTGATGTGCCTTTGTTTTATATGTCCATTGTGAGTATGATACCTACTTTTTTATCCTTTTAATAAATATGTTTTAAGATAATGCACTAGGCCGGTGCGCCCTCTTTTTGTTTTCCTTTACAGGTATAGAGGTGCCTGCACTTTTTAGCTATTTCTAGAGACAATTTTTTAATAACTAAAAAATGTTATGAGAGGCTTTAAAAGTTAAACCATTTTAAAATGGGAAATTAAATTAGTAACCATCCAAATAAAAAGAAACAACTGAGCAGACGTACAGTAAGGGTGGCATCCATCTTCTTTTTGTATGAGTAGATTGTTATCCGCAGCATCGCCCCTAATTTCTCTGTTCTTTAGCAAAGCATCAAGGTAAAGCTGAAGAGGGATGTCTGGAAGACAAATTATTATACTTAGAGAAAAAAAAAACACTGTATGCATTACACAGCTTAGAGTAGAACAATGGTTCCCATTAAAAAAAATGTGTTGCAGCAAAAAACATGTGTAAAAATAAAAAACATCCACCCTAGTGTGTAAAACAGTCCAAACTATATGATCTTCAACCTGTATACTTCCTCCAAAATGTGCACACTTAAAGAGGGCAAATGTGCTCAGAGCCAGAAGACTTTACTTGTGTATAAAGATTCCATCCACACTCATTCACATTCGGTCCCCCAAACACCTTATTTCCTCATATTACAATTGAAATACAAAGAAAGACCCATTCTGAGTAGTACCCATCAAAAATAAAAGCTTTATTTGCCTTAGTTAAACTCACAAGCATGGACGACTTGTCACATAGCCATATAGGAATACCACTACCTTGCTGTATCAGCTTTCTTCTGGCTGGACCACCTTACTAGCCTAATGAAATGTAAACAACGTGGGTGGAGCCAAAGCATCTGACATATTGCATCATTGGGCAGGACTTCATCAGAGATATGGTGATATCACTGATGAAGTCCAGACCGGTCATGCAACTTTATTAGTCAGATCGCAAGACTGGCTTCCAGTATTTCTGGGTACTTTTAACCACATCTCCCGTTTTTATTTTTCTCTCTAGGAGAACGTTTTAAAATGTGGACTGCAAACGGTCATGTGTTCTTTTCTCAATGCTTTATTTTCCTGAATAATTGTGTCAAAGCATTTTTTTTATACCTAAGCAGCATTAGCACTTTTCAGAAGCATAACGGTGCCCAAATATCACCCTACATTGTCCCTAAGAGGTTTGGCAGCATTAGTTCCCATAATCACTTGCAAGGACGTGCAAGCAGGGTTGAAAGGCAGCCAGACACTACTAAGGGAGGAAATTAAGATGTCTCTGTCCCACTAAAAGAACAATTAGGGAGAAGAGGGTGTTGTGCTGACATACAGTATAATGTTGGCACATTGCTCTGTTGTCCAGATTACTCAATCAGGACCTACAATGCTGTTTACAATTTTAGTGCAGCTGTGTCAGAGGTGTCAACCCAATATTGAATAATAAACTAAGGCTGAATTTCTGGCAGGATCACTGGGTATTTTTTTAATGGAAATAGCAATTAGAAAGAAAAAATACAGTGGGCATTTTGTATCTGTATGCTCATGTCATGTTTACTTTTTTAATTGTGACCATACATACAAAGATTACAAAACTGCAATTATTTGTGTTCTTTGTATCTGCCTAGAATTTAGCTTTAGGGCCGGTTCACACTAAGAACCGCATAAGAAAGTGCTGTGTATAGAGTGGGCAGGAAAAAAAAATGTCCTAATAGTGGAGTTTAATAAAAATGTCCCAATAGTGGAGTTGTGGAGTTTACAAGATAACATACTGCTAGTTTATGTCTAATGCCCCGAATACACGGGCCAGATATTGAAATAATGAAATTAGCCGTTACAGTAGAGACGGTCCACCTTCTGGGCCGTGTGTACAGCTGCTTGTCCAACAGAAGCCAGTCTCAAGTCAATTGGCTGCTGGTTTTCCAGGCCTCTTGTCAAACGAGCATTCTGGAAAACCTGCAGCCGATCGGTATTTGATCAGCCCTTGCAGCCAATGGCTGTGAGATATGACCGATATGTTGGCGGGCCCCCTGTCAAAACACAATAGCACAACAGGGAGATCGCTGTACTAACATCGCATAGGAAGAACAGCGATCTACTCAGTTTTTTTCGTTCAGCCTGCTGGGTTGAATGAAAAAAAAAAAAAAAAAACTTAATGTGTGTACCGGGCTTAAAACTGTAAAGAAGTTTATGTTGACAGCTTGCTTTGGATCAGGGGCTCCCTTGGCACACTGAAATGATATGAAATTAACGAAGTTCTGAAGCTTTTTTGTGCTGCATCTCTTTGGACACAGCATATCCCAATAAAATACAGGCAAAGGCAGTCTTCTGCTATGCATCATATTCAAACGCATGCATTTTGTCAGCACTGCTTTCAGGTGCAGAAGGCAGCATTTGCCAACAACTGTCTATACAAGCCCTAAGTGGTGTATCAGGCCTCCTGCCGATATGCACAAGGCTCTTCCTAGTGAGGAAGATGTAGACACACACCACCAGAGGACAGCTGGATTATTTTCCACCTACTTCCTCCTGGCTCTCTTCAGTGAACTTCCCCAGACCCAACTTGATCCCTGGTCTCAAGGTTTCAAAAGGGGCCACCCAGCCTAGCTGGCACCTATCTCTAAAGTCTTCTTCTAGAAACCTGCACCAGAGGCCTTCTCCAGCAGGACTGGACCCAGCAAAACTGCACTCTGCTGCTCAGGCCTCAGGCTGTTTATGGGCTCTCTCACCACCTACTGGGCACATTCCCCCAGAGATTGGCTGGTGTGCCATAAATATTCATGCTGCCTGCCCTGTTCATCCTCCCACTTTGATCCTAGAATCCTCTAAAAGACAGGGGGAAGTAACAGAGCAGCAACTTGTGAAACATGAAGCAGCCCTATACAATCCATTCCTGCTCCTTTGATTATAGTGGAGCCAACTAAATTTGCCTAGCAGCCTACACTTTTCTAGGGGGGCACTACACTTCCCTAAATCTATGATTATATAATGAGCAGAGTTTTGCGTCTTCTATCTTTTTCGCTGCAGAGGAGGGGGTCCTAATTCAGGTTGCATGGTATGTATTGGCTGGTCAGTGGCTGAGCACTGTTGAGCATCAGAAGAATGCATAGCAAAATGAGGTTGGGACGTTTGGAGGTTGTCCATATCGACGTACATGGACAGTAGATGTAAAAATGATAGACATTCATTGATTTCCTCACCCCACCCATGATAAACAGGGTGGATGAAGGAATCTCCCTTGCCGACTATTGTATTTTGACAGCCAGTGCCTGTCAAGACTACCCGACCAATGACTGTATCTGAACGGATGCAGCCGCTGTTCAGCCAACAATTTTCTGCCCACCTCCTTCAAATGTTTAAAGGATAAGTTCACCTTTGGGAACATGTTACACATTCTACCGATTTTTAGGATGGAACATGTTCCCATAGCCGCAGCTGCGCCTGCCATCCCCTCCTCCCTCTGACAGATAGTATAGTAAAACTTCTCTCCGTACTGTCAGATTTGAAAACAGTGCTCTGCCCACACGGCCGCATCACTCATTCACAGAGTTCTGAGAATGAGTGCCTACAAGTCCCAACACCCTTGCTAGCTTGTAGTTTTCATGAACTATCACGGTGCTGTGAAGTGTCGTGGTAGTTCATTGAAGCTTCCTGTCAGAATATCTGCTTGACCGTACATCCCGTATGGCAAGCAGATATTCTGGCAGGTCTGCAGGAGACCTGCATGGCATCAGTGATTCACTGATCACTGGTGCCATGCTTTCCAGGCTCCTTTGGACAAAAATAATAAATGCGCATCTTTTTACCTGCAAAAAAATGTGCATTTTATTATTTTTGTCCAAAAGGTGAACTTATCCTTTAAAGATATCAGGCAGGGAGGTGCCGACAGGGCCACCCACAGAATTTGAATTTTGGTTGCTTCATTGGTAAGCAGCTGAAATTTCCTCTGTGTATTGGCCAGTGTTAAGAGAATTAAAAAGTGCTAAAAAGGAAAATGTTTTAAAAAAGAATTAAAAAAAAAAAAAAAAAACAGTGAGTGAATAGAAGGGAAGGGGAAGTTGTGCATGCCTGGAAATGCATACAGAGCAAATTGCTCATATACTATATATCTTTCTTCTAGCTATGAACTGATGAGCGGCTTGCCTTTGCTCTTTTATTTGCCTGTGGTAAATCTCTGACATATAGATCATTACATTTTCTACAAAAGGGCATAACCTGCAATAGAATTCTATAAGTGTACTTACCAGACGGCAGTGATAAGACAGGATGGAAATGCGGTTCTATCTCACACACATTGCTATTCACTAACACAGGTTTCTGCGGCTTGTCACAACAGGTCCAGGTGGAGTGGTGCTTTGAGGATTGCAGTGACTCATTACAGCAATAAACAGCTTTGTGGGAGAGCATAGCCTGCAGAGATCAGATCATAACCATGTAAGTATCAGGGAAACATACAACCAACATAATCTAAACAGTCAAAACGGCTTATTATTTATACTAAATAGAACATTTTAAAAGTATCTTCAGACATTAGAAGCAGATATACAGTGTTATATGCTACATTCAGCTCCGCACTCCAAATCTGAGTAGTTAAACATAGCAGAAAACAAATATGCAATTAAAAGTAGTTGCAAACCCTTACATATACCCAGTGAAGTGACCTGGCCTCCGGTAATACACAGAGATGAAGCAAATCCTCCTACATAAGGTGTACCAGTTTATCTGCCATCTCTCCTTCAAAGTCCAGAATTTATAAAGCTTGTCTGAGTTGTCAAAAAAGGGGGCGGAGAGCTAAATTACATTCTGCAGAGTTCAGTGAGGAGAGCTCTGACAGACAATTGGAGGGGAGGGAAGGGAACCCCCCCCCCCCTCACCCAGCTCACAGAAACTGTCAATCAGCTGGAGCTCCCTATCCTGTCACCTTTTTTTCCTCTTGGTGTCAGGAAAACTTGTCAGAAGTGACTCATGCTAATAGCAGGGGAACAAAGCAGCTGACAGAAATTACACTCAGTGCTCTGTGCTTTGTTCATATTTCATGTCTGAGGTTTACAAACACTTTAAAGTAAACCATAAAGTTTTTCATCATGGGTGGAGGGGACCTTCAGTGAAAACTATATGTCAAAACAATCAGTAGATTCAGATCTATACGAATTATACATACATATTCCACTAAAGTTTAGGTTGGCCCTGCCATCTTAACCTTAAAGTTGGCCCTACACAATCAGATTTTTTTTGCTCAGCTTGAGGGCCGAATGAAAAAGATCTAACGGATTTCTCCATCAATGCTATATTGTACAGCATGGGTGGACGAATCTCCCACTGCAGGTATTGTATTCTCACAGGTGCCACCAGTCAGAATGCCAGAACAGATGCTGCAACAGATTGGATGCAGCCCTGGTTTGGCCGAAAATGTTATGACTTGCTCCTTCAATTTTTCAATTAAAGAATGTTGGGTGGAAGGATGACAAATTGGCCATCCACAAAGCAAAATCTGGCTGGTTCATCAGGAACCAGCTGAAATTCACACATAGTATGGCTAGCCTAATTCCCCTTTCACACGGGCGATCTGATCAGGTCAGCCTTTCAGTTTTTCTGGTAGACTTGATCAGATGGTCCATGTATCCCTATGGACTGGTGGGTGTAAATGGACTTGTGTTTGTTTACACCTGCCTACCTCAGATCTGATCCGGTCCCACTTAAAAAAAAAAAAAAAAAAAAAATGAAGGGGATCCATTCCCTTCCATCTAGGCAGATCAGATTAGAGGGCAGTCAGGTGTAAACAGACAGCTGGTCAGTTTACATCAGACCAGCCATAGGGCAGAGCGGGCTGTGTCCGTGTCCGCTCTCCACAAACTGAGTGAACACAGATCTGTCATCCACCCACACTGCTCTTCTCTGTGGGGGATCAGTGGACACATCCCCTGCTGAGCAAAGAGGATACTGACCAGTATGAAACAGACCTTGAGCTAAAGCTTTTACAGTCAGGTCCATAAATATTGGGACATCGACACAATTCTAACATTTTTGGCTCTATACACCACCACAATGGATTTGAAATTAAATGAACAAGATGTGCTTTAACTGCAGACTGTCAACTTTAATTTGAGGGTATTTACATCCAAATCAGGTGAACGGTGTAGAAATTACAACAGTTTGCATATGTGCCTCCCACTTGTTAAGGGACCAAAAGTAATGGACAGAATAATAATCATAAATCAAACTTTCACTTTTTAATACTTGGTTGCAAATCCTTTGCAGTCAATTACAGCCTGAAGTCTGGAACGCACAGACATCACCAGACGCTGGGTTTCATCCCTGGTGATGTTCTGCCAGGCCTCTACTGCAACTGTCTCAGTTCCTGCTTGTTCTTGGGGCATTTTCCCTTCAGTTTTGTCTTCAGCAAGTGAAATGCATTGTCAATCGGATTCAGGTCAGGTGATTGACTTGGCCATTGCATAACATTCCACTTCTTTCCCTTAAAAAACTCTTTGGTTGCTTTTGCAGTCTGCTTTGGGTCATTGTTCATCTGCATTGTGAAGCGCCGTCCAATGAGTTCTGAAGCATTTGGCTGAATATGAGCAGATAATATTGCCCGAAACACTTCAGAATTCATCCAGCTGCTTTTGTCAGCAGTCACATCATCAATAAATACAAGAGAACCAGTTCCATTGGCAGCCATACATGCCCACACCATGACACTACCACCACCATGCTTCACTGATGAGGTGGTATGCTTAGGATCATGAGCAGTTCTTTTCCTTCTCCATACTCTTCTCTTCCCATCACTCTGGTACAAGTTGATCTTGGTCTCATCTGTCCATAGGATGTTGTTCCAGAACTGTGAAGGCTTTTTTAGATGTCGTTTGGCAAACTCTAATCTGGCCTTCCTGTTTTTGAGGCTCACCAATGGTTTACATCTTGTGGGGAACCCTCTGTATTCACTCTGGTGAAGTCTTCTCTTGATTGTTGACTTTGACACACATACACCTACCTCCTGGAGAGTGTTCTTGATCTGGCCAACTGTTGTGAAGGGTGTTTTCTTCACCAGGGAAAGAATTCTTTGGTCATCCACCGCAGTTGTTTTCCATGGTCTTCCGGGTCTTTTGGTGTTGCTGAGCTCACCGGTGCGTTACTTCTTTTTAAGAATGTTCCAAACAGTTGTTTTGGCCACGCCTAATGTTTTTGCTATCTCTCTGATGGGTTTGTTTTGTTTTTTCAGCCTAATGATGGCTTGCTTCACTGATAGTGACAGCTCTTTGGATCTCATCTTGAGAGTTGACAGAAACAAATTCCAAATGCAAATAGCACACTTGAAATGAACTCTGGACCTTTTATCTGCTCATTGTAATTGGGATAATGAGGGAATAACACACACCTGGCCATGGAACAGCTGAGAAGCCAATTGTCCCATTACTTTTGGTCCCTTAACAAGTGGGAGGCAAATATGCAAACTGTTGAAATTCCTACACCGTTCACCTGATTTGGATGTAAATACCCTCAAATTAAAGCTGACAGTCTGCAGTTAAAGCACACCTTGTTTGTTTCATTTCAAATCCATTGTGGTGGTGTATAGAGCCAAAAATGTTAGAATTGTGTCGATGTCCCAATATTTATGGACCTGACTGTATATGGACTTAGTTACACTCATCCAGCTTACATAGTAACCACAGGGGGTCACCTGCTCGGCACGGGCACCATTCACAGAATACCTTGCGCTTTTCTTAATGAATGTAAGGCAATCATTTCTGATTGGATGAGGCGGAGAGGTGACATGACAATTTCCACCTCATCCAATCATAGAATGTTTCGCATATGTTGAGAAAAATGCAAGGCTTTCTGTGAATGGTGGCCATGGCAAGTGAACCACCCCCTGTGTTCACTATACAGCAAGGAAGCAGTTTAGCTTGGGACCGGAAAGACAGTGGTAATCACTGTAGCAGAGGCACCTACTACAATAATTTTCATTTTCCACAAGGATCTCACAGGTATGGCACATACATACCCAATTAATCCAAGCTGAAAAATCTATACCTGGAATTCAGCTTTAAGTGAACTACCCATATGGAAGAAAATATATTTGAAATATATTTAAAAAATATTCTTCCCAAATATATTGACATATATTTGAATTGCTACAATTTTGGCAAATCTGAAGAATATATTTTAAAAAAATATATTTTTAAAAATATATATTTTTTAAATATACTCCAGATTTTTTTTAACATATAAAAAAGTAATTAACATATATTTTTACATATATTTGTAAATGCATTCCAAAAATGTAGATTTGTATTTTTAAAGACATACAGTATATTTGAAATGTATTTTTAAAAATAGGTTTCATATATTTTTAAATAAAAACGCATTTCAACATGCAGTATATATATATATATATATATATATATATATATATATATTTATTTATTATTTATTTTTATTGAAATATATTGGGTATGGCCAAAATTGTAGCATTTCAAGTATATGTCAATATATTTGGGAAGAATATTTTTAAAATATATTTCAAATATATTTTTCTTCCATGTGGGTACTGGCAGGGGCTGAGCCCAGAGTTGGCCTTTAAAGCCATACATTATTATGTTCGTATTTAAAAAGCTTCCTATACTTCATTACAGCTAAATATATAAATGGTGGGAGAATTTATCAGGTAGATTGAAATCAGTCATCAGGCAGTTTAAACAGTGAATCATTTATTAATGTATTTGAAGCTTGTCCCTGGATCTGCACGTTCTGCTCCAGCCTTTAATCCCAAAGTTCAGAACACTGAAGCATTTCTCCATATATCTGCAATATCACAGCACCTGTATTTTTCCTCTTATATCCATTAGAGGGGTAGATATTTAAGACAATCTTATAGCACATACATTTTAAAAAATCAGACAGAGCTACCATATATGACTGGTAACTTTTCTGAGTGTCCTTTATCAGCACCCATAATAATAAACATAAAAACAATAAACAATTCCCAGGAGACAGTTGTGAAGGTCTGGCTGCTAATGGAATGCAAACAAGCACATTATCAAATATCTCAAGCTGTCCCTCTTTTTTGTCTGATGTGTACATCTCTATACAAAATATATTATTTTGCTACCAAAAGTGTTATTGTGCACCAAACTTGTTATCCAACCTCTATATTACTGCATTTGTTATTTTGAAAAGTCAATATAAAATGAAAAAAAGCCAATCATTTTTTGCATATTAGTTATTTTTGGCCTGTGTAACCAATGCTATAGCAGGGACATGTCCTTTGCTTACATAATGTGTACTAAAAGGTGTCCCTCTTTATCATGTCAGTAAGGAGGAAGGTATGCCAATTGTTTGAAAAGCTGTCATGCAGTTCCACGTTTTTTCCTCACCCACTGCACAAACTTTATGAACCATGCAAGTAAAAGCCCAATTCCCAGAATTAGAACGCAATCTACCCTTCCAGTGGGCCCCCCAGTATTGCAAGGTTTAAATATCAGTTAACCACTTGCCCTCCAGAAGATTTTACCCTCTTCATAACCAGCACATTATTTGCTATTCAGCACTGTGCTATTTTAACTGGCAATTGCATGATCACTCAACACTGTACCCAAATTAAATTTATATCACTTTGTTTACACAAATAGAGCTTTCTTTTGAAGGTATTTGATCACCACTGGGTTTCTTATTTTTTTATTATATAAAATGAAAAAAAGACTGAAAAATTTGGAAAAAAAAACCCCAATATTTTCTATTTTCTATTATAAAACATATCCAATAAAAAAAAAAAATCAAATTTCTTCATAAATGTAGGCCAAAATGCATTCTGCTACCTGTCTTTGGTAACAAAAAAAAAAAAAGAAACCCCAATAAGTGTATATGGTTCCATCCCTCTGATGATGTGCGTGTGCACGTAACGCATAAGGAGGAGCCCGGACGTCGTGACGCTACGCTGCCAGAGCCACGTGGAGGCCCGGCGGCCATCTTTAATATTCCTAGGTTAGTTCTCACTATACCTGGATGAAATCTTTACCTGTATATCGCGATTTGGATACCTTTACTTGCTTGTAATAAAATTCATTTGATAACCTTACTACACTATGGGCATCCTTCCCTAACTCCCTGAGAAGAGTGCTTATTTTCAGAGGCCCTGTACCAGGTTCCAGGCACCGTACCAAGAGGGGGAAGATTCCCTGTAAACAGGCAGTTCCTTCCATCCAGCCACTTTGAGGAAACCTCTGGTTACCTGGATCTGATTCATCTCTACTGTGTCCTGTCACCATACGGAAGGGAGGATTGCCCAGATTGACCAGATCTCTGATGAGGAATTTTATACAACGCTCATATTCATTTATTTCTGGTGAGTGCGCATTTTTATCATTCCCCACGGAGCACCACCAGTATCCAGTAGATGTACCTGGCACATTTTATAAACTTTATGGACGTTTTTTTTTTTTTTTAATCTTATTATTTTTTTTAGCGCTGCACTATTCTATATTATTTTTTATTTTTAGCGCTGCACTATTCTATATTATTTGGTGTATTGCATATATTGGTTGCTTTGAGTGCATAGCTGCTTTTTGGATTAGCGCTCACTACATACAATTTTTCCATTTGTTTTAATAAGTGTATATTATTTGGTTTGTGTGAAAATTATAGCATCTACAAACTATGGTATATATATTTGAAAATTGATCAATCCTGATGTACTGATGGCATTTCTTGAGGCCCTAAAATGCCAGGACAGTACAAATGCCCCCAAATGAACACTTTTTTGGAAAGTAGACAGTCTGAGATATTTAGTAACAGGTATGGTGAGTTTCATGAAGTTGTAATTTTTTGTCACAGTTTTTTGGAAAATGAAGAAATTAAAAAAAATTGTTTTTTTTTCACAATTTAATTTTTTCCTTTTACATACTGTCACCAGTGCAGTACAGAGTTATCCTATGACTGGTGTGGCCAGGGGCGGACTGACCATTTGGAAACTCGGGCACTGCCTGAGGGCCCGGTGTCAGTAGGGGGCCCAATGAGATGCCCCTGGTACCTTTTTCATAGGCTTTTTTGAGTTTGGGCAAGGACACAGGGGCCCCATTATCCCCTATTGCCCGGGGGCCCCATGAGTTGTCAGTCCGCCCCTGGGTGTGGCGTTGATCAGGGATACCAACTGGTAACCGTATGTAAAAAAAAAAAACATTTAAATAATTTGTCATTTAATTTTTTAAACATTTTTTTCGTTTTTAAACTTTTTCTTCTTTTTTTTTTTTTTTTTTTACATCCACTGTGCCACTCTGTGCGGTGATCAGTTTTTTTTTTTGTTATTGCTTATATAGTGCTGATCAATGTATATGCAATAGTTTTAGCTGTCATGAATGGGTTTCTCATTCATGAACAGCTTGCTTATGGTTGTGATCTGTGATTGGCTACAGCTAATTACATGGTACAGGTAGCCAGGTACCATGTGATTGCTGTGGACCTATCACAGATCACTACAGTAAGCAAGCTGTTCATAAATGGAAAGCTATTCATGACAGGTTGTTACATTGATATCATGTGGTCGCTATGACTAATCATAGCGATAAAATGGTATGGTGGACACAGTGGTCACAGCAGGGGCACGTTGCACACTCCAGGGGGCACGCTGTGCACTCCTAACCAGGAGCAGGCTGTATGACATACATATATGTGTATGTCATCCACAGTGGGCGGGCGGCAAGTGGTTAAGTCTAAGGGGGAGGTGCAAAGGCTACAACACTTACCCTACTCCCAGCTTTGAATGGCTTCAGCACTCTCCTCTTTTCCCTCTGGCACTTTGGGCGGTGTCATCACAATACAGGGCTATTAACTTTGTATTGTATGTGGTGAGGGCAGCTGTGAGCAGCTTAGAAAGGAGACTGCAGGAGTTGTGAACGGAGATGGGCCTTTAACTCATAGGTGAAAGAGGGTCTCTATGGTACCAGTTGGGGTGCAGCTTTACAGAAAACCTGTGCCTTGCTCAGACTGGCTTTTACTCCTTCATCTGTCTTTTCAACAGGAGTAAGGAGAACAGGACCTGCGTACATTTCATGACAGCCCTGGCGAGTAAGGGGCTAATGTCCAAGCACCATTCAGCTAGATTTTGGGTTAAGAGACACAAAGGGGTTTTTTTTTTTTAGAAAAAGACCCTCAGAAAGACTGACTGTTAGGCATACAATGTTGATAGTGCTGACTGCAGTACAGCACAAGCTCTTAGGACAATAAGGAGTAGGATCTGGAGAAACTCTTACTTTGTAGGCCCTACTCTGGTGTTTAATTGAGAGCGTCTATGTACTCTCTCTATGGAAAACCCACAGTGCTCTGGAATTCCTATGTCATGAATGAACTCTGTATTATTTGCAAATCTATTTTATATGAATAGCTTAAAAATAAATGTGAACTATAGATGTAAAATGTTATTTAAAAATAACTCTAGTTCAAACTTACTGTGCATTCAGAGCCAAATCTATATAGATTTCTCTTGTGATATAATTGTAGTGGTCTGGTACGGGCTGAACTGCTCCCAAAAGTGAAGGGTGCTTTGGCATGGATATTCTTCCTATCCTTTTTTGCCTGCTTCTGGCTGAGTCCATTGAGCACAGAAGATTCTGGCTTATGCATGGATGTTCTGAAAGGAAAAAAACCCTTGTGAAAATGAGAATGAAAAAAGGCTCCTCTAGTATGCAGCATGCTTTGAGAGACTGTCATTTTTTATACATTATATAGTAAATTGTTGAAATAATGCCAACCTGCTAGCTCTTGGAAATGCAGCTGCCCCATATTCACGGTTGGGAGATTTCACACAGGGCTTAGGAGATAGGGTGACTGGGAAAGAGGTCATCAGACTGCTAACCATTTCTGTTAGCCGAGCACTCTGCAAGACAAGAAGATAATAAATAAGCATTGGCTGTTTTATTTCCTTAAAAGGGGGTTTGGCTACTCCAAAAAGGTGTCGTAACTGTTTCCTTTTGGGTTAGATACAATTAAAAGATCAGAAGGGCTCCACAGGGACATAAGGAATGATGTAAAGAATAAAGCTGGTCATACACTAGTCGATTTTCAAACAAACATTCGTACAAGGGTTAGAGAGGAGCTCCAGTCTCCGCCCATAAAATTAAACTTCAGAAGCTACAAATACTGTAGAAACACCAAACATAAACTTACCTATCCAAGGATCTGTCCTGCCCTGAGCTGATTTTTCAAGTCTCCAGAGAGGGAGATATCATATTACCCCCGTACAAATCATTAGTAAGACCTCATCTGGAATATGCAGTTCAGTTTTGGGCACCAATTCACAAAAAGAACATTGGGGAACTGGAGAAAGTACAGAGAAGGGCAACCAAACTGATAAGCGGCATGGAGGAGCTCAGCTATGAGGAAAGATTAGAGGAACTGAATTTATTCTCTCTTGAGAAGAGGAGATTAAGGGGGGATATGATCAACATGTAAAAATATATCAGTGGTTCATATAGTGAACTCGGTGTAGAGCAATTCACCCTGAGGTCATCACAGAAGACCAGGGGGCACTCTTTATGTCTGAGGAAAAGAAATTTAATCTCCAAACACGGAAAGGTTTCTTCACAGTGAGAGCTGTGAAAATGTGGAATAGACTCCCTCAAGAGTTGGTTCTGGCCAGCTCAGTGGATTGCTTTAAAAAAGACCTGGATTCTTTCTTAGATACACAGAATATAACTGGATGCTAACATTTATAGGTAAAGTTGATCCAGGGAATATCCGATTGCCTCTCGGGGATCAGGAAGGAAGTTATTCCCCTGCAGGAGCAAATTGGGTCACGCTTTGCAGGCTTTTTTTGCCTTCCTCTGGATAAACTGTGGGTATAGGATTCTAACTTTTTTTTTTTTAATGGTTTAACTGGATGGACTTTTGTCTTTATTCAGCCAGACTATATAACTATGTAAGCAAAGAAGCTGCTAGTCTCTTTGGCTAACCAGAGTGTCTACTGGGATAAGTGTAACCTTGGTGTGTCTGAAGAACCTTACAATAGGAGCTAAAGCCATTTAACTCTCTGAGGTAAGTAGCCTTAGGTTGCTGTTAGAACATTTGTACCTGGTAACCCCTGTGGTTGAGTACATTTGCAGAACAGACAAACTTGGATGGTGGCCAGTTTGAGAGGAAACAGGTGACAGTGGCAGGAGACTGTAGCCCAGTTGGGTGGGATATCAGGTACACTTTATGTCCCTCACCTCGTGGTAATCATAATGAGACCCACTGTGGCACAGGGTCAACCAGGGGCCTGGCCTGAGCTGTCACAAGAGGAAGGCCTTGCGTGAATGATAAAGCAGTGGCTTCCTGAGATGTGAGCTGTTATGGGGAAGAGAATTCATAATACAGTGTGACAGGATGGGTCAAGTGTTTGTGTCCAAGAAGGGACATGGGAAACTAGAGAGTTGTGGGGCATGCTCTGCATCCTCACCCTATAACAGGTAATCCTCAAGGTGCGAGGAAGTTAAGTGCTTAGGAACCAAAGCGTGAATAATTCCTGTAATGGCTTGTGGTTTGCTAAGTCACTCCTAACACCCGCACACTAAATGAGAGAAATAATTCTAGCACAAATATTTACAGCGAACATTGATGAGATGTTTTCAGCCAAAGTGGCTATGTAGATCTTGGAGATGGCTTCGGGTTCCTGGTGCCGGCATCCTAACTAGGGAAAACCCGCAGTAAAGCCTTGGGGCTTCACAGACGGTTTCCCACTTCTCAGGTACAAGCCACGCTTTGTAAATGGTCCCACAGTCTTCTGGGACCTGTGATTTGTCCCAGACGTCTGCAGGGAAAGAAGGGGGGGCTAGACTTCTGCTCAGATCGCTGAGTCAAAACCAGGTACCCGCTCTCCCCCCACAAAAAAGTGCCAATTGCTACAGAAGGGGATGAGGCAAACAAGGGGAACTTCCCTTTTTAGGTGAAGTTCCGCTTTAAGTACACACGACTTGATGAATTTTGTTCTAAAGCACTTCAACACTTCGTTTGCTTTTACCAATTGATTTTGGTGTGAATGCGATTTCCCACACAAAACCACATCCACTGCTAGAAATTAGTTTGATAAAACCTTTTTTTATCTTTCTCTGAATCTTACGGTCACTGTGTCATTTGGAAACAAATGTCGATTGTACTCTGCTAACATTTCAAAAACTGAATGAATGTTACTGAAACTAAAGTTTTTGAACAAAAATTTTCAAGTATATCTCCAGCATAACTCAGCTTCAGCTCTGTTGTTACTTTTGAAATTTTTAGGCTAGGACACAGTAGAAAGAGTATAGTGTCCAGTAATCAATAATGACCAAGTCACAAATTACTTTTTTTTTTTTTTTAGCAATCATAGCTAGCATTTACACATTAAATCTCTTTGCACTGCTACCGAATAAACATGCAAACTATGCAATTCCATATGAAGCAAATTACCTACAAGCAAGGAGCAATGTTCTACTTTGGTGAGAATCACAGTCTGATGCAAAATCTGCTGTGTGACCACTGAGAGAGTGAAGCAAACGGAAATACACCCACTAAATATAGTGCAGTAATTGTGGCCACACACACACACAAGCTCTACCCTTTTCCTTGTGCCAACTCCACTTGACAGCCCTTGCCTGTTATAGAAGTCTTTATATCACACATGCATTTTTTTTTTCCTGTCTTGACCTTTTTATCTCTCAATGAAAAATTTCTACATTTGAAATTAGTAGCTTTTGTGTGTTGTCTTATATTTAAGAGAAATTACTGTATTTTCCTTTAATACACATTTAAAAGTGAACTTGTGCTTTGCCCATGTAGGAACAGTTATCACTTTTACTAGCCAGAAAAGCCTCTTCTGTTTCTATCGTTTTTATTGCAGATTTATTTAATTACAAAAATAAAGGAGGAACAAAACCATAAGTGTATAAGAGCTTCAATTGTATCATCCACAAAAGTATTGAGATTATTACATAGAAGGAAAGGCACTTATGGAAAGTCAGTTACATGTCTCTATCCCCCCTCAGGGGGTGGACCCCATGGTGGGCAGAAAATTGCAGCAATCATTTTCTCTCCAAGAATACAGAATAAAGAGTATTCAACAGAACACGTCTGGTCGTCAACACACGTGCAGCCACTATGTGGTGGCAGTAGACAAAATAGAGCGAATGGTTGAACCAATCCTTCCGATTTTCACAAGACCCTGCAAGGTCCCTCAGGGTTGGACCAGGACAACAAAATCATTATGTCCTCCAGAAAAGCCTCTTCTGTGTTCCTCTGTTGTAAAGCTTCTATCTTTTTTTTTTTTCTTTTAAATTAAAATAACAAGCATGTCATACTTACCTGCTCTGTGCAATGGTTTTGCACAGAGCAGCCCTGATCCTCCTCTTTTCGGTCCCCTGCTGGCATTCCTGGCTCCTCTTTATCCAGTGCCCCCACAGGAAGCTGCTTCTTATGGGGGCACTCGTGCAGGTTTGTTCCAAAGCCCCCTTACCTGTGTCCATAGACCCAAACAGCAGTTTGATTGACAGCAACAGGAGCAAATGGCTCCCACTTCTATGGATCTGCCCTGTGAAGAGGGACAGAGCAGAAAGAGCCACTGCTCTCATGTACAGCGCTGGATCATGATGGGGCTCAGGTAAGTATGGGGGGGGGGGGCAGCTGAGGGGATCCCAGGCACTGTTTTTTTTTTTTTACTTCAATGCATAGAATGCATTAAAGTAAAAAAATACTTTGAATTTGTTATTGGGACTTAACTTCCTGACTAAGATCTCATTCATACCACTGCAGTGCGCTTAATGAATGCTATACTGCTCATGAACATGCATTAAAGAGGCCAAAAAACAGACCTGCAGCATTTTGGTCAGCACAGCTCATCGCGTCTACATTGCAATAGTATTGTAAATTTGCTTTGGGGTGCTATTCACCACAGTGCACCAACATAGGCAACATGCATTACCATTTGTTATGGGACCGTATGCATTACTGCAGCACACTAAGCAACTGTTATTTCCCTGTCCAATAAAGCAAAAATGCACACAAACGGGAGTTTCCCAGCAAATAAAAGCAAAAATATACTTTGAGATGCCTGCTTGTAGGTAGAACTTATACTATTAAAAATTTTAGGTGCCCGATTGGTGAAAAGCATCCTACCAGGAATCCAGGACAGCCTCAGTGCTGCCAGTAACTGAAAGATATCTGATTTTCTTTAGAACAGTTCAGCTGAGGAGGACAGGGCACAAGTGACACTATATATCTCTAAAGAGCTCATGACTAAGTGTAGGTTCCTCCATCAGGCATTTTGAATTAAAGTGTTACTAAACCCACAACAGTAAAATCATCATTCTTTATATGCAGTAAAGCATGCTTGTTATACTCACTGTGGAACCTAAGAGGTTAAAAAGGCTGTTTGATCTTGACTTCTCTGATCCTCCCCTTCTTCCAGTGCCCCCCTCTTATCTCCTGATAGGAAATTTTGTGTGGAGTCACTCTGCACATGCTCAGTTTGGTGTGTATTGCTAGAGAGGTTTTTTTTTTCTCTCAGGAGAGTGCATGTGATCAGCACAGGGCCAATCAACACTGTCCAGACAGAGGTTAGGGGTTTGGCATCCTCCTAGAGCAGAATGAAAACTCCTCCTACAAGCTGTAACCAGTGCTTTACTGAACACTGACAGAAGTCACAAGACTGCTCTAACTGCTGATGAGAAAAGGTATTTAGCTGTTTATATTTACTAAAATAATTGCATTTCCATGTTCTTTGTACTGTGGGAGACCAGATATAGTGAATGCAGGGTCCTGGGTTTAGTGAAACTTTAAGCGTAGACAGATATCAAACTATTTAATTTGATTTTAGATTGCAAGCTCTCATGAGCAGCGCCCACTGAACCCTCTAGTACTGAATTATAT